TGCTGAAGAACACAACAAAACCCCGAAACAAACATCTGCAAGTTCGAGTTTACATCCAAAACCGATATTACCTTTCTATGACAGGTTTGCCCGAGAGGCTTGAGCTCGCGGTTAATCACATCAATCCGTTTCCTTATCGTCGATATGTCCTTCCTCATTGGATCAGTAAGAGCTTCCAGCTCCTGAGAGAAAACAAAGTTTCATCACGCATTGCACAAAAGGACCTAACCCTCCTGTCTCAAAATGAAAGTTGGTTTCCATCTATATATGTCTTACTTCACGAATCTCGGCTAATCTTCTGGTGGTTTCCTCGGCAAGCCCGAGTTTTGTCTGAACCTTATCCTTCATCTCCGTCTTTTTCCTCTCAATCTCCTCTTCTTTGGCCTTAAACAGAGCTAAAGCCGAACGGGAAAGCTCTTCTTCTTCTTCTCTGTCATCCATCATTGGACTGCCATGGATGCTGATGATCCCTGAGTTCTTCACGAGTTGAATCTGTGGTGATTGCTGTTGTTGCTCCAACACATGTCTTGTCGTTGCCATTGTTCCTATGATGATCTCTTTCTTGATCTTTTTCCTTTCTTCTCCAAAGATATGATAGCTTTTTTTTACCTCTCCTTTTCTCACTGAGTAGGCTGCCTCGTTACATATATATATATATATATAGATAAACCAAGACTGGCCTTAAAAGCTATGGAAAGCCAAATTACAAAAATGCCCCAGCTTTATAAACTTGTCCTTCATTGACCACTGTTTCTTCCCATGCATTTGCATAGGATTCTACGTTAATGAGCCGCTTAATGAGATTAAATTTGAAAACTTGAAATTGGAATTAGCTTAATGATTTTAAATAAATATGTTGTTGAAAGGAAATATGGCAAAAGAGGTTGTATTGGATGTGGGGCTAGAATCTTGTGGGTTAGTGTGTCCCTTCAGGCTTATATTTTTTTTGGGAGAATCCCATATTCCCCCACAAATTTACGAAAAAGTTCCAATTTCCTACACCAATTTTTAATTTGACAAAAAACTATACCGAATTTCAAATATTTCTAAATTTCCACACAAAATATTAAAATGTGTTGCAATTTCCCCCACATCTGTAAACGACGTTAAGTTCCGTCAATCTTAATGCTGACGTGGCATGCCACGTCATACAGATTTCGCCAAATCAGCAAATTTCGCCACATAATCAAGCCACGTCATAAAATAAATAAAAAATAAATTAAAATAAAAACAAATTCTAGATTTTTTTAAAAAAACTAATAAAATAAAATAAAAATACAGAATTTCAAATTTTGATTTTTAAAAATAAAATAGAAAATTATATATACATATATATACACTTGTATATCTATACACAATTATATACATATACATATATACACATATACATCTACATACATAATTATATACATATATATACACACTTATACATTTACATATATATACACACTTTTACATATATGCACAGTTTTTAAAAAAAACTTTTAAAAATTACAGTATTTTAAAATTTATTTTTTTAAAATAAAATAAAACATTACATATACATATATACAGAAATAATATATATATATATATATATTCACATATGTATATATACATATTCATATATATACATATATATCCATATATATACATTGAATATGTATATATATATATGTGAATATGTATGTTCATGTGTATAAATATATATATATATATATACATACATATTCATATGCATATATATACATATATATACATTTATACATACATACATATATACATGTATGTATAAAGGATAACACATATGTATATATGTATGTATGCATGTATGTATAAATATATATATGTATATATATGCATATGAATATGTATGTGTGTATATATATATATATTTACACACATATACATACATATTCACATATATATATATACATATCCAATGTATATATATGGATATATATGTATATATATGAATATGTATATATACATATGTGAATATATATATATATGTATATGTAATTTTTTATTTTATTTTTTAAAAATAAATTTTAAAAACTGTAATTTTTTAAAAAAACTGTGCATATATATAAAAGTGTGTATATGTATGTAAATGTATAAGTGTGTATATATATGTATATAATTATGTATGTAGATGTATATGTGTATATATGTATATGTATATAATTGTGTATAGATATAAAAGTGTATATATATGTATATATAATTTTCTATTTTATTTTTAAAAATCAAAATTTGAAATTCTGTATTTTTATTTTATTTTATTAGTTTTTAAAAAAAATCTAGATTTTTTTTTTATTTTTAATTTATTTTTAATTTATTTTCTGACGTGGGTTGATGATGTGGCGAAATGTGCTGATTTGGCGAAATCTGTATGACGTGGCATGTCACGTCAGCATTAAAATTGACGGAACTTAACGTCGTTTACGGATGTGGGAGAAATTGCAACACATTTTAATATTTTGTGTGGAAATTTGGAAATATTTGAAATCCGGTGTAGTTTTTTGTCAAATTAAAAATTGGTGTAGGAAATTGGAACTTTTTCGTAAATTTGTGGGGAATATGGGATTCTCCCTATTTTTTTTTTTAATTTAATACAAATTTGATAAATTAACAACTTTTTATTGGGTTGGTATACAGACAAAATCAGCTAACAACCAATGTTTGGTTACAATGCCATTAATAAACCAATACACATACACAACTGTACATATAGTGCACATGTATGCAACTGAATGCGTGTGTTGTAGTGTGTAGTTGAAGTTAAAACTAGGATATGATATTATTTGTCTTAGGAGTACATTGCAATGGAGTTTTCCTAAAAGAACACTTGAAAATAACAGATAAATAAACATTATGCTCTCTGGTTGGAGGGTCTTTGGAAGTACCATTTTTGGTAAAAATAAAATATAAATTAAATTTTTATGAGTGTAAAAAAAGAGAAAAAGATCTTACTTGCAATGAAAGATGGGTGCTTGGAATGGAAGTCTTGTAATGTGGAGGAGACAGTAAAATATGGGAGGTAAGGTGCGAGAGCCTTGAGGGAAAAGCAAAAGTAAATAAATACATAAAAATGATAATAACCATATTATAATATATATATATAACATTGGTTAGGCATTATTACAAGATCAGCTTGAAATATTAATTTCGACAAAGACCCAATGGATGATGGGCATTGCTTATTCACGAGCACCTTTTATTATGGCTTTTTGTTTTGTTTTTTTTTTTAATCAAAAGATAATTTGGTCTTCCAACTTTGGATTTTGCAATAAAAGAATCTTCACTTTCAGTCCTTTCCAAGGATTTCACTGCAACTTTAACTAGCTTCCTTCAATCATGCAAACCTCTCTTAGACCCACAAACCATCAGCAACAGACTTCTCAAGCATGCCCTTCTGGCCTCTGCTTTATCTTGATTCAAAAGTTTAGTCGGCAATAGGGTAACATAATTGACTTCACAACAAACAATCTCATCCGGTCTACCGAGATCTCGGTTTACCGAAAAACCAATTTCAGAACCGGTTACCAGAACCGAGTTACACTCCCTATACATCATAAGCGAGACGTTTTTTTAAACCAAAAGTTCCAATCTTTTCTGCCCATATCTTGGCCCCAAGGAGATCTAGTTAGGCATTACAATACAAAAGTCATGGATTCCATAAGAGAAAACAAAGTGCCTCTCTCGTAAAGCGTAGATGGATCGGGAATCAATCCCCGCTAGCGCAACCTTGACATCCACAGTGAACACATTCAACGGCTTTCTCTTCTCGCAAGTGTTTGGGGACACGACAGACACAAGTTGTCCCGAAGTTGTGGTCTCTTGGTTGTATGCATCGTAAGCAGCAAAGACGTTCATACCCTGACTGGAATTCCATCAAGAAAAAAAAATGGATCAGTACAGTCACAAAGAAGAGGCTATAGGGTAAGATCACTGTTTAAGATGGAAAATGACATTAGAAATTATGTGGAAACAGAATCACAGTTGATCACCAAAGTAAAGTAGATGTAGAAGTAGAATTCAACAATGAGAATATGTAACGAACTGAATTGAAAACGACTTATTTGTTAAGACTGATAACGACAATATCAAGATGCCAATACGATTCAGAATCGGGGATTGTCAAGTCAAGCTTGAAAAAAAATGTATGACAAGAGTGACAAAGTCCAAAAGTAAGGATTAATTTCTAAGTCCATTAGAAAAGTTGATCCCTAAGAAGCCGGGAGTCACTTTTCATGAAAAGTAAGATTATCAGAAATCTTTTCTCCTTGACCAAAGAAAAGCCTCATTTCGAAAACTGACTTATCTAAATCGGCAAACCAAACATAATCGATCGAGGGTTTTCTATATCTCCGTTTGTTTCTATTAAAAAACTACAAAAATGTCAAAAGGGTTCAGTTGTTCCTCAAAAAAAAAACTATAAAGGGTGCAGAAACAGATAAAATTCGAACTCACCTTTTTCCACTTTGCAATCAGGCTTCTGTCCCCATATCCCTGATCCAAGCAGAACTCGTATAGCTCTTGAGATATTTCATTCCTTCTGTAGTAAAGGTCATACAAATACCGGCTCCTCTGATGAGAGATTTTGAAGATTGGCCACAAGCCTTCACACTTTCTCTTCCCATCATGTGGATCAGTCTCAGCTGCACATGACCAGATCATCATAACACATTCAGTAGGCGAGATAGTGGCCAGGGTTTAGTGACCAGATCATCACACTTTCTCTTCCCAAAATTTTACATTTGATCTTGGTATATATTTATTACATATATAGATCCCAACAAACCTTCTCTCATCTTGGCATCCAGCTCCCGAAGTGTCGGCTCAATCAGCTCCCACCCTTCTGGGTACTTGACTCGATTTGTTCTAATCTTTGGCATTTTCTCCAGGCTACAAGAAGAGAGCTCAATTATACAAAATTCTACACAAAATTTTCATGGAGCCTGATAATCATCTCATGTAAACAAGAACCGTGGTTGTTTATCCATCACGGTTCAAGCATATCAAAATTCTTAACTACGGAACTAATTGATCAAGTAAATATCCTAAAGAAACCTAATTAGGCAAAACAAAATCATACCCACTATTTGACAAAAATTTCAATGACTCAGTTCTTGCAAAACCCCTACCAGAGATAATCACAAATGTTGCAACTGCTCACCAACTTCGATCCTAATGTTAAAGATATAAATTTAAGGGTTTGTCATAATTTCATGGACATTTTCAAAGTTTGACATGAGAACATTCGTGAACCCTTGCAACATTAGTAATCCATCAAGTCGGTAACAGCCAACGAACTGCAATTTACAGGCCGAAATTAGGATTCTGAGGACAAAAAAAAAACTCCTCAGCATCCCTAATAACCTGATCATTCTTACTCTACAAAGCCATGGCCTTAGCAAGCAAAATAGGAACACCGAAACATAAGTTTGCAGATCATTTAGCTCTCATCGAAAGCTTCATTCTAAAGAAGAAACATTAACAAGGTTACAGCCGTTGCTTAAGATCACATGCGCATAAAGTTTACAAGGTATCCCAAAATTGCATGCCAGAAACAATAAGGTGATAGAACTGAATCTAAAACAAAATCATCGAGTAAAACTGGCTCGACCGACAAGTCTAAGTCCTTGAGATTAACCGGTTAGTAACGAAGGATAGTTCATCTATAACTCCGAAAATATAACTCTAAAACGATCACCGAGACAAAAACAGACATTCAGATAGCTACAAGAACGCTAGCACCCAAACCTAATCTGAACCCATATGAATCGAATCAAACCCCGAAACAACCATTCTTCCTACTCGAAATACCGAGAATTCCAATCAAATCGAAAGAGGAACAAAAGATTGTAGGGATTGAAGATGATCGGAAGGGATCGGTACCTCGTCGCCGCGCGTTCGTCTCGTCGGATATGAAGATTCCTCACCAAGTATCTGATGGAAGGGATGCGGAGTGAAACGAAGAAAGGGTTACGAAATGAGTTAAATGGGCCATTGAAGAACAAAAAGCCTTGACCAACTAACCATTGGGCCGGACCGGACAAACCGGGCGCGGACCGGTTTGGACCGGTTTATGAACTTTTCAATAAAATAATCTTATTATTTTAATGAAGTTGCATACCACTCAGTCGCACCTATTTAACGTGTACACGGAAGAGATCGATACCTCGTCGGTGCGAGATCGTCGAACCGTCTTGTCGGATATGAAGATTTCTCACAAAGTATCTGAGTGGAAGGGATGCGGAGTGAAACAAAGCAAGGGTTACGAAGTGAGTTAAATGGGCCATGGAAGAACAAAAAGCCTTGGGTCGCAACTAACCATTGGGCCGGACCGAGCAAACCGATAACGTACCGGTTTGGACCGGTTTATGAGCTTTTCAATAAAAACAATCATGAAGTTGCATACCACCTCACTTTTATTTTTTTAAAATAAAATAAAAACATGTTCGAAACGTTTTGCCTCAATTTGCTCTATAACGTAAAAGGACACACGGTTCAAAGCATATGCACCAAAACCAAAATCATCAGGACAGTGGAAGGCCTCACCAGAAATAGAACAAGTGTTTTTTTCGCTACAACTAAAAATTCAGATTTTGAAATTTGAAGCAACACGGTGTGCAGCAAATGCGAAGAACCCGAACATAATTTGAATAGAAATTTCTTGGAATTCTCGTGTTACCCTCGAATTCATCAGATATATCAAAAGCTGACTAAAATTTCCAGAGTTCCTGTCAAGAATCTCCCGAACCCTCGTGAGATCAGGACGGTGGCAACCGAACCCCTAATCCAACGGACACATGAACGGATTCGTTGCGCACAATCGGTCAACACCACAAAACATAAAGCACTGGAAACTCGAACCAAATGAAGAACCGGGCCATTTGGGGATAATGTTCATAAATAACATCAAATATCTTCAGCTTTTGGACATCGTATGCAACTAAAGCAATTATTTTGGCAAAGGCAAAACACCATCAACAAACTTCAGAAGCACTCAGTGCTAATCTTAGTCCAGCACCCCCACATATGGGAACACAATTAACAACAACAAAAAAAGTTTATTCCTTCTTCCCAATGCCATGCGACATGTTATAGATTCCAGTTCCCTGTTTGAACAATGCAAAAACTCCCGAGTTAGTCGATGAACATTGTTGTGGTTCATTCATTTCACCAATCCCGTGACGGGTATCATCCGGATCTCATAACATAGCAAATGAGATTGTAAACTGGGAGTTTTCTTCGGCTTTTTGAGCCGTCAGATAACTCCAACAAGAGCTGTTTCAGGAGGAGATACAGAGTTCGAATGTATAACCAGTTCTAGGTAATAATGTTCTGTCTCAAGCCAACATAAACATTTTCCATAACTCTAACAACAATAGCTAAAAGACCAGATGAAGGATTGTTTTCAAAAAAGGGGCAGATGGAAAAGGGTAAACACAGAAATGCAGTTTTCTTGGAACTTACAATCATGTAGAGCGAACTCGCAGCCAAGGCGAGAGGAATTGCAACGGAGGTGATTTTATCGAAAGGTCCTTTCAGGTAAGTGTGTCTATGGATGCTCTGGAAGTATCTCTGCTTCTCTAGAAGCATCTCTCGTGGCCTAAAAGGAGTTTCAGTCATCTTGAACTGCAATCGCAATATGAAAACAAGCAAAAATGATTCAAGACATGGCCAAGTATAGAATTTTCATGGACTGTGGGGAAAAAGCCAACCATTTTCGTGCATACATATCAAGACATATAACATAAACAAAGTGATGACAAGGAAGTTATATTTCCAAGTCATGTGTGTCGCAGATCAAAATCAATACGAGCTTCGATACGACACCATGGAAATGCTCCCAGATTACAAGGAACAAGGAGGTACGGTCACTAAAGGGGGAAAAGGCGGAAGCTTTGAAGAAGAAAACTTTAAAATAAAGCCAGAAAAACAAAAGGACGAATCCAGAGAAGAAGAGCAGCACCAATTTCACTAGAAATGATAAGACAAAAATACACAATTTTCGATCCTGTGAGCAAAGAAATCAATTAACATTCAGGGGCGTCCATTCGATTATACGTACGAATATAACCGCCAAAATTCAGGCATCGGCTTAACGATTCATCAAAAAATTCAATGAGAACGAATTTTCTTCATGAGCTACGCAGATTTGACAACAGAAATCAAATCGATACATCAGAGAAATCAACGATCCACAAATCCAAGTAGGAGCAGCGTATTGATCAATCCGATCAAACTAATGTTCTTCACGAAACAAGGAATCCCCAAACTCCAATCCAAAAAAAGTCGAAGATTATTATCGATCTTTCCCAATCTCAGATCGAGAATCTGAAACCATGAAAAGAGAATGAATGAAGAAGCAAACGTACGTGAATTGCGGAGAGATCGCAGAGCTAGGTCGAATGCAGAGGAGCTTCGGAGAAGATGAGTGAAGGAAACGCGAAACTACGCGAGGAGCTAAAATGGCCAGGGCTCCAGAGTTATGTACAGCGATATAAGGGTATAGCTACGGGAATTTTACTCAAATCACCCAGATCCAGATGGGTCGCACCTATTTATAGCTACGGGAATTTTACTCAAATCACCCACATGGGTCGCACCTATTTAACGTGTACATCATAAAAAATATAACAATTTTTTTGTGTATGAAAAGACGAAATTACCCTTAATGAATACGCGATTTTTATCCGTTCGAAAACAACTTCCTTATTACGACTTCGTAATTAATTCTAAATATAGTTACAATTGATTCTAAAAATCTTATTTTAGTGGTATATCAGTTATATATTAGTCGTAATAAAGTCGTAAAAAATAAAACGAAAAGGGTATTTCGGACTTTTCCAATCGAAAAATGGGTTAAAATTAAAAAAAAAAAAAAAAATTCGGTGGTGTACGAGCCCACGACCAGTAAATAGTGTTATTTATTTTATTTAAAAAAATCATGATCTTTCAATATTTATATTATATTCGATTCCATTATAAATATATTTTATTCGATTTAGCTATTTGATTAACAACCAAAATGATCAATCCAACATATCAAAGAACCGGTTTAAGCTTCCTTCCGACCGGTTTACCAAAACTGGTACATAACACACCACAGGACGCTAATCTGTCAAATAAACCATGGTAGTTACTCTTACTAAACTACGCATCAATACATAATAATATAAGATACATGGCATATAATTCTCTCTCAAATTCGATTTAAAAGTATACAAAGCTACTCCTATTTAAATATTTCTTCTTCCACCAAAACGATGAAAATTCTAAAACACCTGAAAGCTCGAGCTTTCATCATCGTTCACATCCTCACTCTCTCCACGTTTCCCGGAGATAAAGTCCGTCGGCATCGCCGGAGGAGTGGCGCAGCGAATGAGCGCCCAGTTCATGCCTTCGAAGAACGGATGTTGCTTGATCTCCACGGCACCTTTTCCCGACCCGAAACGGCTCTCTGGCTCTTTGGCTAACAACAATCTGATCAGGTCCCTCGCTTGGAGACTGACTATGGGGCAAGTTGGGAATGAAAGGGACTGAGTGACGATGTTCGCTAGGGTTTCTTCGTTTCCCGAGCCTTTGAAAGGCGTCTTACCGTACAAGAGCTCGAAGAGGAAGATCCCGAATGTCCACCAGTCCACCGAGCTCCCGTGGCCTTCTCCCTTGACGATCTCGGGGGCTAAGTACTCGTGTGTGCCCACGAATGAGTTTGATCTCGCCTCCGTTGGCTCGACCACGAGCTGCGGAAATGGATTCACTTGCAGTGGCGGGTCGGATTTTGATCTCCCGGGTTTCGAGGAGATCGAGAGAGTTTTCGGAGTGAAGCACGAGATTTGAAATGAAGGGTTTAGGCAGAACGGGTCAATGCAGCTCTGAGAAGTGCAAGGACTTGAGGAACGCTTCTTGGGCTCTTCTGTGGCTGGAGAAAAAGATGGAACAAGGGTTGGACAGACAGAACATCTAAGAGAGAGATCAAAGTCTGAAAGCATGATGTGACCATCTTCTCGGACCAAAATGTTCTCGGGTTTCAGATCTCTGTATACAACCCCGAGCATATGTAAATACTCCAACGCCAAAAGCACCTCTGCTGCATAAAACCTGCAAGTTTTTTTTCCATTAATGAACAGCTTCTTACATGGTGAGCAAAATCCACAATCTCAAAAAGATGTGTCTGAATGATTCAGAAAGCAACGTGCGAATATGTTCGATAGGGGAGTGTTATTGTACCTAGCTGCATGCTCAGAGAAACATTTCGATTGTTGCTTCTGCCTCAATACGTGTAAGTCGCCGCCGGGGCAATACTCCATTACTAAGCAAGAGAGCTTATCGGTCACGAAATGGGTGTAGAGTGTCGGAAGAAACGGGTGATCCAGCATTTGCAGAATCTCTCTTTCGGTTTGTGCCCGTAACATTTTCTTCCTACCAGCCAAAATCTCGTTGTCCATCACCTTCAGAGAAAACAAGCAGTTGGTGCCAATTAGCTCAGCAAGATACACAGTGGCGATATCTCCAGAACCCAGTTTCTTGAGTAATTTGAAGTGCCTCCAGTCTACGCTCTGATGCTGCTTCTTAACAGCGTTAATGGATTCCCACCGTATGTCCTTTGACATATGAGGCCGACTTCCTATACGAGAAGAACAGCATAGACTGCTATCTTCACTGATACTGGTAGTGCTACTGAACCCTCCAATGCTACTTTTCGAGCTCTGTGAGAATTCTCCTTTGCCTCTAGACCGTGATTTATCCCCGTCTTTCCACAATGTAGGCTTATTTCTCGCTTTACGGGTCAGGCTGGACACAGCTTTCGTTGAGCAAGTGTCCGCCACACTTGATGAGCTAACTTCCATGCTGCAGCTGCTGCTTGATTCCGGAGAAGCTTTAGGTCTCTCTTTACTTCCATTTTTATCTTCCCGAGTATCAGACGAGCTTGTACCAGGACCCGATTCACTGATACTTTTAGTGTTTGAACCTCTGCTGCTGCAAGTTGAAGCAAATGCCTGCTTCCCTTTTCCTTTTATAAAACTTCTGTTCCTGAAAACGGGTTTGAGTAACCGTGGACTTGCTCGAGTGGAATCGTTTGCTTTTGTTGTAATAGCAGATCTACTCAGAGAAGACCATGGATGCAACCTGTTCTTTTGTCCCTTTTCTGACACAGGTGTTTCTCCCCGAACAGCGGTTGGGACAGGAGAAATCTGATCTATTGCTTCAATATGAGAAACTGAAGGAGTATCGAAGCTACTCACCTTTTGCACCATTTGACTACCATCATCTCTTTCCAAACTGTTGGTTTGATCTAGTGAGGGCAATTTGGCACCACTGCTTGATTCTGATGCTGAATAAGTCTTTCCCCGAGAATCTGAACTGGTTTTGCCAGGGACAAGAGATATTTCTAGAACCTTCCCTCTTCCTTCACCAAGAGGGAACCCGGATCCATTTGCCTCAACCACAACAGCCCTGTACAACCTTTTGACACCACTTCCATCCGACACTGAGGAAGTGCCAACCTGCTTGGACAATCTCTTCTTCATGGCTGCCATTTCCGAAGCTTGGGAAATCGATAGACCTCTAAGCGCCTGCTTTAAACTCACGGGCTCCGATATGCCGATGCCAGAAACCGGCAACGGGCCTACTCTAACCGGCCTTTTCATCGCACTCTTGTGCAACATGCTTCTACTTGCCGATGTCCTAACATCAATGGCCTCGAACAGACTACTAATATCATCTTCTATCGAACACCTACCACTAGATCCTATTATCATATGTCTTTTTCCAGCTTTATGGTTCATCTTCAACCCCGGCTCTTCCACGGATTCGACAATCTCTGAAGCAACTGGACACGCACTCATTTTCCCAGAATTCACAGGATAATCTAAGACTAACCCACTTCTGCAGAACGGCTCAGGAAACAGAAAATGACGGTGTAAAGGAATCGTTGTGGAGATTCCACGGAGGTTTCAAGAAACATAGTCGTCCACAGAACGAGAGCAGCCGCTTGATCTTCCCTTTTGCAGAGTTTCTGATGAGAGGGCCAGATTCCTGAAGCAATTGCAGAGCTTTGAGCACATACAGTAAGTTGAAAATTAAGGCATTAAATGTTTGAAATCCAGATTTCGCAGCATAAAATTGCAGAGAAACGTCACGAAAATCAATCTGGAAAATACGACAAGACAAAAACTTCAAATAACTCAAGAATAGAGCTCCATACCACCTTCAGTTCAGCGAAGTAACATGATCATAGCAGATTTTTTTATTGCCACATCTCACGGTGATGAGGCCTAAAACCCTAAACCCATGGCCCCAAAAAAATAAAATTTAGCAAAAGGGTCCACAGGAAATCCATTAAACGAAAGAGAACCTATTCGAAAAAACAGACTCCAGATTGCCTAAAAATTCCCAAAAATAACCGAAATAAGAACAGTGAGAATCGCTAAAAGCAGAGAGAAAAGTCGTACGACCCACCTCAGAAGACGATCATATCCGTTGAAATTTCGTCATGGAATGATGATGGTTTCTCGATGTGCACATAATTGCGGAACAGGAGTTGGGCGTGAATATGAAGCTACTGTGAGGAATTGGGGATTTTTGCTTTTAAGCCTTCCCTTTTGGTTAGAGGTTGGGGAGGACACGAGAGAAGAGAGCTGTGGAGTGAATGAACAGAGAAAGAAAGAGAGAGAGAAATTCACGGGAAAGTATCAGCTTCTTCTCGCCATAGAAATGGCGGAAAAAAACATAAAAGAGAGAGACGGAATTAATTAAAAAAAATGCGTTAAAATTGAAAAACATAGCGGCGAGATTTTCTTTCTGCTGTTTATGAATTCAGTTTCTAGTTTTTTTATCCTTCCACCCCAATGTTTACATCATTTAGGAATCTGCCCCACTAATTTTGGAAATTACCCTGAGATCCTGTTCTATTATAGAGGATAAAAAATTCGTTGAATTTAAGAACAATATAATCAAGAAATTTGGCAAGATGTTTACAGCTTTATAATGCATAATATTTTACCACACTTTATTTCGGTAATATATTGTATTATTTTTTGTTGTTTTTTATATTTTAAAAAAATATCTTTATTCGATATTCGATCAATTGGTTTAAAAATAAAATTTATATGTGATTTAACGAAAAAAAAACTTTTAAAAGATGATAATATATGCATCATGCATGTGTGTGTAAATATTGTTCTTCGTCTATCTCAGCTTTAGAATTTTTACCTTACTAGGGTAAATCGGTAGCTTCTGTTGCTTTAGCCTTTTTAACTCGTTTCTTTTGACCGACCGACCACATTCTTCGAACTTCCATCCCTCGCCATTATAGTTTCTGTAATAAAAAAAAAAAACTTTTACAAGAAAAAAAATTCAAATTGCCAACTAAATTTAGTTCTTAAAGGGAAATAACTAAATGTGGTAGACTCATGGATTCTATCTAATCTTGGCGAATTATTTTTTAATTGACTGATTATTGACTCAAAAAATAGTTGACTGATTGGAATAAATATGGAGTTTAATATTATACTTTATGAAAATATTAGTGTTATATTATAAATATATAGAACACAGTATTGCTTCCATTTCCAAAAATTAAAACATATTGAATCAAACGTTTACAAATATGTAAATTTTCAAGATGTAAAACGTTTTTAACATGTTTTTATTTTATTTTAAAAAAATAAAAGTGAGTGGTATGCAACTTCATTAAAATAATAAGATTATTTTATTGAAAAGTTCATAAACCGGTCCAAACCGGTACGCGCCCGGTTTGTCCGGTCCGGCCCAATGGTTAGTTGGTCAAGGCTTTTTGTTCTTCAATGGCCCATTTAACTCATTTCGTAACCCTTTCTTCGTTTCACTCCGCATCCCTTCCATCAGATACTTGGTGAGGAATCTTCATATCCGACGAGACGAACGCGCGGCGACGAGGTACCGATCCCTTCCGATCATCTTCAATCCCTACAATCTTTTGTTCGTCTTTCGATTTGATTGGAATTCTCGGTATTTCGAGTAGGAAGAATGGTTGTTTCGGGGTTTGACTCCATTCATATGGGTTCAGATTAGGTTTGGGTGCTAGCGTTCGTGTAGCTATATGAATGCCTGTTTTTGTCTCGATGATCGTTTTAGATTTATATCGTCGGAGTTTTGGATGAACTATTCGTGATTTCTTGTTGCGTAATTTGTCTCGATTTGGTTGCATGTTTGGTTCTTATGTTCAAATGATCTGAAACACCATGGTCATTCTCGAGTTGGATCAGCCATTTAGCCTTTTCCGATTTACTCAGTTTCTTTGATGGGATTTTTATATTCTGATTGTGGATGCAGTTCCATCGCATTTATCTTTTCTTCTTTCTTTTGTGTAGTATCCTTCCTTCGTGATAGATGTGTTTCGACGTTCAATTTGTTTCGTCTGTCTTCAGTTTTTTAAGTTTAGGGTTCAAAATATTATATCATCACGTTAATGCTGAGCGCTTCTTTTGACTCGTTGAAGCCACTTGCTGCAAGTTTAATGGATTTGAATACCTTTATTGACAGCAGGGTAATCTTCACTCACCATGGCGACCAGAAGTGCTTTGAGATTTGTTTCTCGTAGGTTCTCTAGTGGTGGAAAAGTTCTCGGTGAAGAGGAAAAAGCTGCAGAAAACGTTTACATCAAGGTATTTTTATGGATTCGTATAAGCCAGAGATTCCAGGGTTCTAAACGTGGAATTGTGTGCCATGTGGATTTTTTAGCTGCTGCACATAAGTTCTTCAAAGTCTTGCTCATTTTCTGTGTTTCCTTTATTAGCTGATGTTCTTTGCCTCTGTTTGGATATATCAGAGAATTTGGATTTGTTGATGAGTAAACTTTTGCCATGCGTCTGCCTTTGCACTGGTGTCCGAAACCAGTTGTCGATTGTTTAAATTATTTCGGTTCCAAATTCAGCCAGAAGCACAGTAGAACTTTCTTATCCAAAGCAAAAATCTGTTTACAGCATATCTGCTTGTTTTCTCTACATATTTCGAGTAAAAACTCTCTTACTTATTGAATATAATACAAACTAATCTTCAAACTGACCAAAGTTCATTGTTGCAGAAAATGGAGCAAGAGAAGCTTGAGAAGATCGCTCGGAAGGTGTGAATGAATTCTCTCACCTCGAACAAGCAGTCTATTACACAAGTAGCTCACTTGACAAAAGAAAAATATCAGTTACCTAAATCTCGTTTTCCTTGACTCAGGGACCGAAGCCGGGAGAACAACCTGCCGCGGAAGCTGGTGGCTCGGGAACTCAAGCCAAGACGAGCGAGGCAGCATCCTCATCGGGAGAATCAGCCCCCAAAGTATCGGAGGACAAGTACCGAAACTATGCGGTGGTTGCTGGTGCAGTGACCATCATAGGGGCAGTGGGATGGTACATGAAATCCGGCGGAAAGAAGCAGCCAGAGGCTCAAGACTGAGTTCGGAACTTCGGGATTTGGGGCTTCTGCGAGGTAAAAAAAAAACTGGGAATAATTGAAGCATGTTTTCGTATGCAGCAGATTTGGATTTTGACTTGTTGCGTTATGTTTCCTCTCTACATGGGTTTAGTTCTTGCTTCGACAAGATTTCAGTTTATCTCAAGTTTGGTTATCTTTCGCTCAAGTGAATTTTTTTTGGGGGCAATTTAGAAAGATCTTTCAAACCCGTTTACCTAATGGTCGAATTAAAAAAAACCCGTTTACCAAGAATTTTCTTCACCAATTCCACATCAAGCTTGAAGGTAGTTATACCTCTAACAAGACAAACATTTGTTAAATGGTCCAAAGGTGCAATGGAGTTTAAAAAAGAGGAGAGAGCCGACCATAGAATCGTCTACAAGAAAATTAGCCCAAGGAAGATTGCTTTCTCGTGCTTTGCAAGATCGAAATCTAAGCCACGATAATGAGAATTAATGGATATGATCACTGAGGCGATAACTGGAGTTCCCAAAAGATTGGAAGATGTTAGAAACCGAAACACAAGTAAAGAACAGGTCTGCATCATAATCTAAACCAAACTCCGTTGAGAATTCCGGCAAAGATTCAAGACTACAAACTAAATGTAAAGACTTGTAAAATCTCAAACAGTTTAACAAAACAAAGATGAAAATAAACATTATCAAGAAAACAAAACCAGAGAGAAACAAGAAGCTTAGTCGAAAAGACTGAATCCCATGTCCTGCAAGAAACACACCAACCCACAAAAACCCAAGTTAGAAACCAAGACGAAGCTTCAACGCAATGTTTCAGTAGTGGTTTTCCAATCAAAATAAGAGAAAAAACTTACATCATCGGATTCTTCCTTTTCTTCCTTCTTCTCTTCTTTCTTCTCCTCGGCGGCAGGAGCAGCTGCACCACCACCACCGGCAGCAGGAGCAGCAGCAACTGCCACACCACCACCAGATGGCACAGAAGCCAGCTTCTCCCGACCAGCTGCAATCAGTTCGGTGATGTCCTTGCCACTGACTTCCTTCAACAGAAGCTGAATCTCCTCATCACTAGCCTCGGCACCAACTGTACAAAAAAAACAAAAGCATATTCTCATAACTTGCTCCTCAATACACAAAGATTCAACAACAATGAAACCCCTCTGTAGTTACATTCTTCAAAAATAATCACATTATTACAAGGCAGCAGATTACAGATGCAGAACATATGTTTGAAATCACAAGAAAAAGAAAATCATTTTTGAGCGTTAGACGGAGAGAAACTTGATCACTCAACATAATATATCTAACCCACTTTATAATTAGCTTCTATTTAGGTTATCCTTCATTTGCAACCACAGACAGTAGTATCACATAGACCCGTATAACAACTCACAGTATGGAAGCCCAGATCACTATCGAATTCTTCTATCTCGCTTGCAAGGAATCTAAATTACTCAAGTTATGTCGGAGTAATTTACGCGGATAATCCAATCTTCTATAATCGAAAATTTCAATGAACCTAAGCGAAACGAAAGAAAAGGGTACGAACCTGATCCGAGAATGTCTTTGATGTCTTCAGCTGTAGGCGAAGCTTTGCCACCCAAAACGGAGAGCAAGAACGCGGCGACCACCTTCATTTTCTGACCAAACAAACAAGAGAGAGAAATACACGTCAGGGGAGAAGAACACAACGAGGAATCCGACAGATAATCCAGCAGCCAGAAAGAGAGATGGAAACGAAATCGCGTACTCTAGAAGTTGCTGGATCTCGCAGAGGCGTTTCGATCTGGTTGGCTCTTTAGAGTTTATTCTAGGTTGTAGAGAGAATGGTAAATATATATAATGTGATTTATATAGCTAGGGTTTTTTTTGTGCTCTCTCGTTCAACTTCGACGTTTCCATTTCTGCCCTCGCATTTGTCAGCTTATTACGGATAAAGTAATGGGCTTTCGGAAAATGGGCCTAGTGCAAGCCCAGTTAAATAAAGAGAGTAAAGAGTCTTTTGGACATTTCATGGTCCTAAAGGGCGGGGAATAAATTCCTCTCCAGACAGTCCAATTATAATTGGGCCTACATGTTTTGATCAAATTGACTATGCCAACATTCCATGACGAAAATGGAATTAGCCCATCGATTGAAAAGCCCAAAAAAAAGTTATTCCACAATTCTACTTTGAATTCTCTTGTATGCATGGATGTATCTCTCATCTCGGCCTAGGGATCTAAAATGAGTCCGGTTTGTGGGCTGGCTCATGAGCCAACCCATATTTTTTCGAGTCAAACTCAAGTATTTTAAGTCCATAAAAAAATAGGCCACACGAGCCACCCGTCACGATCTGGACTGGCTCGCAGGACAGAAAAAATATTTTTTTAAAAAAATTTTAATATTTTTATATATTTTTTTATATATACAAATTTGATTTTTATTACATATTTTGTTTATTTTGTTTAAAATTTGATTTTTTATTATATTTTAAAAATATTTTAAATATTAAAATTATTTTTAAATATTTTTTAGTATGAAAATTTTATTTTTAAAATTTATATATTTGGTTCGCGGGTCGGCTCGTTTGGTTCGCGAGTTAAGACGATCTTAGATAGGTTGATCTATTTTTGGCTCGCTAAAAATCGGGTTGGATTGGATTGAGCTAAAAAATTTTCAGATCGGGACGATCCGGGCTGGATTGGACCGGGGCAACCCGTTTTACACCGCTGTCTCGGCCCTCTTTTCTTGAATCTCGCCAAGCCTAGTAGTCCCCTTGCTCTCGCATTTGTCTTTCTCGGCCCAACATTTTAATTTTGCTCTCGAGTATTATCATGCATACGTATTTAATAAATAATAAAATTATATAAAACTTCATCATTAGTACTTATAATAATAAGTCAACAGTTTTATTTATTAGTTAGCATAAATAATTAAAATTGGAAAAAAAATGATTACATCTAATCAGAAGCATATGACGAAACACATGGTTAAAAAATAAAATAGAATCTTTCGGTCCTCGCTTTAATTTAATGCTTCGCACTACAATGTTTTCTCAAGTTACATAATTAAAGTAGGATTTGGATGTTGATTTATGACATAAATTAATCTTAATCGTCGGTCTAATCACTGTTTAAATATAAAGTTATATAAATCCCATGTGCTCTGTATAATTAATTAAACGTAACGTCATTATCATTATAAGCCAGTGGGTGTAACCACGGCGCCACTAGATTCACACAAATTTAATTAAATTATATAATGGGCTACCTTTTATGGCAAAATATAATAATAGGAACGATATATTATATGAGATAGAAACGTTATAATCTCGCCCTTTTAATGGTTACAGACAAAAGTTCGATACTTAGACCCTCGTATTGTACAATTCAAAATACAGATTTCAACGTTATATCATATAAAAAATGCAAGAAATCAAATGATTTTAGCACATAATATATATATATATATATATAATATAAACACCATACGTTATATAAATATATTATATTTTCAAATGCCACATTTTTCCAAGATAAATGTGCTTTAAAATGTTCACATGTTGTGCATGTTGTGCACGTTGCAGATGATGCATGCCCTCAAAATTAGAGCGTCGGTCCAGAGCATCTGTCACATTGCACTTTACGAACACCGCCCACCAATAACGCCTTTAATATTTTCTATATGGTTTTGTTTAAATTTCATTTCTGTAGAAATTGGACAGTATACTATCAAACTTTTATTTATTTTTTATGTCGACGATATTTTGGATTTAAAAAAATGATATATTAACAGCTTTCGCCTTTGTTGATATTATAATTAAATAAATAGTTCATATATAAGGGTAGAGATGTCAAAACGAATCAAACTCGCCAACCAATTCGATGTTGGCTCCTTTTTATCGAGTCGATGCAAGAATATCTAAACCCGAATAAAAAACGGGGTGAGTGAGCCAATTCGCCACGAGCCGAGCTCAGACGAGCTAGCTCGGTCGACTTGCGAGCTGGCTCGGGAGCTGGAGTAAAAAAAAGATTTTTTATGTTGAAACTTAAAAGTGTTGATATTGTTTGATATGATATTTTGATATGGAGATAATTTTTTTATACATGAATTAGGATATGAAGATGGTTGTACATGGATTAAGACATGTTTATATATGGATGGATTATGATCTGAAAATAGTTTTTTGTACATGGATGGATTATGATTTAATCTATTTAAAGATGGATTAAGATCTGTTTATATATGGATGGATGTATTGTTATGTTCTTTTTATATTGATCTATTATTTGGATATGTTTTTGTATAATTTGATATGAGTTTTTTAGGTATTTAGAAAAATATGAATCGACTCGTGAACTAGGCGACTTAGGCTGAGTTATAAATTTTCTGACTCGAATAAAAACGGGTTTAACGAAGTGGGTTAAAAATGAGCTGGCTCGAAACGAACCGATCTGATCTGGTCCAAGTCGGCTCTTTTAACGTCTCTATACAAAGTCATGATTTTAATCATTTCAATATACAAATTTTAAAAAACAGTATGAAAAATATACAAATAGTTAAAAAAAAACTACCAATCAACAATATCAACGTCAAAATTGATGTAACCTGTTAAACATTTCGATATCAACGTCAAATAAATGCTACACCATCGTTACCATGTTATTAGAATGTTTATATCTTTTTGAAGATTCTTATATGATCTATATATTTATAAACAAATAAGAAATTTCTTAAAAATAAGTTGGTTTGTTTTGGATTTTTAGATTTTTTGTATAAAGGTGCATGTAAAGAGATATGAAGAAGATTTGAGAAGATTACGTAATATTTAGATTTGATTTGATTTCTATATTTTAGATTTTTATATTTATTAAATAAGATATTTTATGATTTTGTTTATGCTATAAATATTGTAATGTTACATGTTGAATAATGTGAAATCCAATGATTCTCCATCTCTTTCTCTATTAGTGCACGATTAAATTTTCCGCAAAAATTCGGCTCAGACAGGTGAGTACCATACCAGATGTCTAGTGGTTCTAAACTACTTTTTGTCGCCTTCGAGTGTTCATAAAATATTTTGTTAAAAAACATTTTAAATATTTTTTTTATAAAAATATTCTTAAACCATATTTTAATCGCGTGCACAATTGGGCAGTTATGAATTCTTTCGCCATTTTTTTTTACTGTAGCAAACTGCTTTTACCAGTCACGGGCCACTTGTTCATATGAAACTAGATTTAGCCACTAAAGGAAAATAGAGTTGGCAACGTAAATCCGATAAATAGAATAAACCAATCGTAAGGACAACAAATTGTAGTATATGGCGTTTTTGCAATTAATATTTTTTTTTAATAGGATGTGAACGAAGAGCCGCAGATTCTATTTTTATATGATTATGATAGCTTGAATAAACTCCGGCCGTTTATTTATCTAAATGGAGATAACATATGAAAATAATCATGATTATGACATAAAGTTTCTAACCTTTCACCCCGATTAATGTTCGAGATTTTAAAGAAATCATTTATAATCTACAACGGTGGCACTATAACGTGGTCTCCGTAAATTCTATTATAAATTATTAAATTTCATGAAAACATGTCCAAAACAATTTATAATGTACTCGAATTATGTAAGCAAAAGATGCCACGTTGTAAATAATAATATTGTGTTGATTGTTATTATGCCACTAGCCGTGATAATAATTAAATGTTAGATTCTTTTTAGGTTTATTCTTTTCTTAAGAAAATGTAACTAAACACATGTCAGCCTAAATCTCCATTACCGCTCTATTTATTGGCTTCCGCTTGCTCGTATCCCCTCAACCCTTCCTCTCACATCTCTCTCTCTCTCTCTCTCTCTCTCTCTCTCTCTCTCTCTCTCTCTCAAAACAAAGATGTTAATGTTCGTCTTCTTCTCCATCTTCTTCTTCTTTTTCTTCCTCAGACTCCTCCACCAGAAATTACGATACTGCAACTGCGAAATCTGCCATGCATATCTCACGTCGAGCTGGAGAAACGAATTCGACAACCTCTGCGACTGGTACTCTCATCTTCTCAGACGATCTCCGACATCGACGATCAAAGTCCACGTCCTCAACAACGTCGTCACCGCAAATCCCGCCAACGTCGAGCACGTTCTCAAGACACGTTTCGACAACTACCCTAAAGGCAAGCAGTTCTCCGACATTCTCGGAGACCTCCTGGGCCGCGGGATCTTCAACTCCGACGGTGACGCGTGGCGTTTCCAGAGGAAACTCTCCAGCATCGAACTCGGCAGCGTCTCGGTCAGGGCCTTCGCTCACGACATCGTCAGGGACGAGATCGAGACGAGGCTTGTCCCTCTCCTGCAACACTTCGATGACGATCGTGGTGATGATCTTGATCTCGATCTTCAAGATGTTTTCCGGAGATTCTCGTTCGATACGATCAGCAAATTGTCTTTCGGGTTGGACCCGGTTTGTCTCCGGTTACCGTTAACCACCTCGGAATTCGCGGTTGCGTTCGACATCGCGTCCACGTTGTCAGCGCAACGCGCGTTGTCTCCGTCTCCGATCTTTTGGAAGATCAAACGGTTCTTGAACATTGGTTCGGAGAAGAAGCTGAAGCAATCGATTGATGTGATAAACCGGTTAGCCGGAGAATTGATAAACCAACGGCGAAAAACCGGTTTAGGTATGGACAACAATGACTTGATCTCGAGATTCATGGCGGTTGTCGGAGATGACGACGAATATCTACGAGATATCGTCGTTAGTTTCCTTTTAGCCGGTCGGGACACAGTTGCTTCCGGTTTAACCGGGGTTTTTTGGCTGTTAAACCGGCACCCTGAGGTGAAGAACCGGATCCTGGAGGAACTGGACCGGGTAATGGGTCCCGGTTTAGACCCGGTCACGGCGACTTTTGATCAAATGCGAGAAATGAATTATTTGCATGCAACGCTTTACGAGAGCATGAGACTGCTTCCACCGGTTCAATTTGACTCGAAATTCGCCCTAAACGACGACGTTTTAGCTGACGGTACGTTTGTGGAGATCGGGACGAGGGTGACGTACCATCCATACGCGATGGCTCGGATGGGTCGGGTTTGGGGACCTGACTGCGAGGAATTCAGACCCGAGAGGTGGTTGGACAAAACCGGCAATTTTAGACCGGAAAATCCAGTTAAATACCCGGTTTTCCAAGCCGGGGCTAGGATTTGTATCGGAAAAGACTTGGCGATCATGGAGATGAAATCTGTGGCCGCAGCCATTATCCGAAGATTCGAAATACGGGTCGTGGTTACCGACCCGATTTCTCGGACTCCGAAGTTCGCACCCGGGCTCACGGCCACCATGAGTGGTGGTTTGCCTGTTAGGGTCAGGCAAAGGAGAGGTTAAAGCACTTAAACTGTATTAATTATATTTCCATATTTAGATCAATGCAGACGTAAATAGTTTGACCAACAATTAATGTTAGCATGTTGGATACTCTTGTTGTTAACATTATCATCAATGTAAAAACAAGCCACGTGGGCATTTCTGTAATCTCGCTTCGGCCGGAGGGGTGATTAGGCTTGGCTTGATTAATTTTAATAATCGTGTCGTGTGATCCCCGATCTAGTTTATGTTGAATTGGATTAAGTATTTTATGATTGGTTCGGTTATACTTTGGCATGTCGCGCGAGGAAAAAAAACATTACCTTTTATTTTAATCAAATGTTAGCTAAATGATTATCTTAATTAATGATGGGTAACTATTTGTTGTTTATTAGTATTGACTTATTATCACCGTCGTATTGCTGTTATAATATATCGTTCGTTTTTATTTAATGTACATGAAAAATGCGTAAAACTATAAAGGTCAAAACCCGCACGCATTTAATTTTGTCGTTTTTCTCCGGGTATTATTAAAAATAGCTATCTTTCCTATAATTTCGGCTTTGTTACCATATAATATTCGCCAATAACAAAATTAAAATTAAACCAGGGATGGGGGCCTTGAATATCCAGGTTTTATCTATGGATTCTCTTGATTTTTTCGATGGGATTATCTAATTAAAATCTCAAAACTCATGAGGGAATAAAACTCATTTACAATTTAGGTTTGAATCTTATTTGAAGAAAAATATTGATATAGATTTTTCTGTTTTTTCAGAAGACATGATTAGACTAAAAACTCAGATAAATTTATGGATTACGAGATACATCAATTCAGACATGTGAGTCTGTGCCAAAGCCCGGAAGATCACGGAACTAGGGGTGGTTGCGGGTCAGACATCTAAATTATTTGGGTACTTACCTAGACTCGGTTGATTTTTCTATCGAACTATTTCGGCCTCGTCCTCGTTTATCCAAGCCTACCGGGACCGGGCAGTCGGCGGTTATCTTGCCGACGATTCGACAGGGCAGAGTGACGAGGATTTTTTGGTAGATAAAGAAAACTTGCGGCTGAGGTCCTCACCTGCGGCCCAGTGTTCTCATGGGCAAAAGACCTGAGCTCACACTCCCTGACGATCGGATTTCCCAAAGTTTGGATACCCGCTAGATCGATATCCGTGGATCCGTCGGGGAAACTGTTCTTTACACAATTCGGAACACGCAAAGTACATTGTTGAGCATCAAACATGACTTTGTTCGATCTCAGGTACATACATAAGTGGGGAGGGGAGTTTCATTCAGTGATCTTCCCTGAGATTCGAAGAAGAAACTGATATATATATATGTAATACTGAGAAACATGAGCGCGTGATATATATTAACCTTCTTCACCAAACTCCTTGGTGAATCTCTCATGGACATCAAGGTCGCTTTTGCTCACGGTTGGCCTCTGTCTCGCCAGCACCTTCTCGAAATCCGTTCTCGATATCACCGGCGGTATTATCTGTCGACCAAACATTGTTTTTTTAGTTTCCAGGGCTTGAACTTTTACCACAAACAGGTAAAAAAAACTCATGTATGACTCTTCTACCAAAAACCCAACATTCCAAGTCTCCAATTTTCTTCTTCATTCTGGATTTTCATCTATTCCTCGGTACTTCATCACAACTACAAGAACTTTCCAGGAATTCTCATGGTAACCAACTAACCATACACATAGATTTGCATTCCCGTGCTAAAAAGCTCACATCTTTCCACAAATACGTAGTAGCCCAAGAGTTTTGAATCAGATAAATTTCGAAAATACGATGATTTACCTTTGAAGCCAAGCCTTTTGTGGCCAGATCCTGCATGGTAGTTTGGATAGCACCGGGTTGCTTAGGCCCGCAAGGCGTCCACATACCATCCGGGGTCTTGAAAAAGAACATGGCATCCTGGGTTTTACGAACAGGTTCAAACAGAACATCTTTCACCTGACAGATCCAAAAAAAGACTGTTTTATCTACGGGCCAGTAGAAGAGGCACACAACAATTGAAACAAGTGATGATACTCGGAGTCAAGCCACCTACACAAACTGATACATCAGAACCGGAAAACCCTTCTGTCCTTCGACCTAAATATTCAAAATCAGCTTCGGTCAAGTTATGAGGAGTATCTCCCAAATGCACCTGCACGTTATATAGTGGAATGATTAGCTACAGATTCTCTCCTCAAACGATGCGATTTGAGTAATGTGTCACAAAGACGTTTTCTTTAATACTTTGAACATGTGTTGCCGAGCCTTTGCATCAGGGAGAGGGATATAGATACGCTTATCAAAACGTCGCCGAATAGCCTGAGATCAGAAATGTATAAACAATCCGAAATATTCTAAACATGAGAAGGAAATCTCAAACCAATATACTGATTATGGCTGTAACCTGATCAAGGGCGTAAGGCGTATTTGTTGCTGCAAGCACAAGAACCTTTTCATCATTGTGTCCAACACCCTATCGAAAGAAAAATGAGATAAGGAATGAGTGAGATGAAACTTTATACAAAAACCGAAGCACACAAGGTTAGGTTCAGAAAGCTTTGCACCTGCATTTGCACAAGAAGCTCTGTTTTAATACGCCGTGAAGCTTCACTCTCATTGCCTTCTCCACGTTGACCACACAAGGAATCAATCTCATCGATGAAAATGATTGATGGAGTACTTTCACGGGCCATCTCGAAAAGGTTTGCCACTAGCTTTTCACTTTCGCCCATCCACTTTGATACCAGATCTGACGAAGATACACTAGTGGGTGGGAGGCAAAAATGAAATAGCTAATCAAAAGCCATGACGCATTCCAAGCATAAAAACAATAAACCAGAAGACCTAACGATCTAAGCATATAAAAACGAAGCAAAAAATATAGCATAAGGAATGCCAGCTTGGTTTATAACAAGTCTCCATCACAGGACCAAACTTAGATCCGCTAAAGTATTCAGCGAGGTATGCATGTTTGTGATCAAGAACTTTGCATGAACACGGTAGGGGAAGGGGTTGGGGTTGGGGTAGGTTAAAGCCTAAACATTCACACAAATGGCTAAATCTAATCCATATAAATCGGTCCTCTCATAAGCCATTTAGATTCAAAACAAGACTATAGAAAAGGTATTTCCATCTGGCCTTGTGATAACATCTAAAGTTAGCAGAAATTGATAAAGCTGTTACAAGAAGATGCCGCAGTTCATCAGATGAATCACTACTTGTAGAAAACTCGGTATGTTCTACAACAATCCAAGTTCTAGAAGAGGCATTGGAAAATCTTAAGACATATATTACCTGAAAAATGTAGATTCCGCTTCAGTGGCAACAGCCTTGGCCAGGTAAGACTTCCCCGTTCCTGGAGGCCCATACAATAGAAAAGCCCGCCATGGCCGCCTCTTTCCTAAATCATAGCCAACAATTCTGATCAACGGAAATAATCAAAGCCATTAACCCCACCCATTACCATAATATCCATTAACATCTATAATAAAAATTCGAATATAATGAAGCAGAATTTATAGCAGCAAATTAAGATCATTCATCAGATGCATAACTAGAAACTAATGCAGTTAACCATACAACCTAAAAGCTAAAAATTTTACCGGTGAAGAACTGCGGAAACTTAACGGGTAAAATCACAGCTTCCTGCAAAGCCTGCTTTGCGCTCTCGAGCCCAGCGACATCGGTCCACCTGACGTTCGGCTTCTCCCTGATGATCGCGGAGTTCAAGCCAGCTCGGAGCTTCGACTGCTCTGGATCCTCACCGTCTCCGCCGCCTTCTCCATCCTTCTTGCTCTTCGGCCGCGTGGCGACAGCGGCGTCGCCGTTGGATCCGGGACCAGGTCCACCTTCATCGAGGACGGTACGGATCTCCTCGGCGCGGCGGAGATACTCGGTGAATTTTTGGGTGATGGCTTCCCTGATCTTAGGGTTTTTCTCGTACTTGAGATGGGTCTTGAAGTACTCGAGCGCGTTCATATACAGAGGAAACGCCTTGCTGTAATTCCCGGCATTGTCCTCCTGCACCGCCTGCTTCACGTACTCGATCGCTTGTTCCTTGAAATTGCTGTACATATCTTCTTAGGGTTTCCAGAAAACTTACTCGATATGAATTCGTGAAAGTGCCACGCAAATCGGATCAGATGATTGTGAATCGACGGAAACCTAGAACCGTGAATGCCTCATGATCGAGCTTTCTGAAAATCAGAGAATCGACCTTTTAGGGCAGAGTGGAGAAGAGGAAAATGCAGAGAATAATCTAAATTTTTTACGTTGAAAATTCAATGCGAGTACCAAAACGACGGAGCAAGTATATCTAGAAGACTAAAACGACGAGGTTTTTTAGTTTTCTCTTCGAAGAGGAGAAAAGGTAGTTAGAGAACTCGCTTTGACAAACGAAACAAAAAAAAGGGAAAAACTCCGTTTCCAATTTAAACCCCCTTATTTATAATTATTTTCTAGTTTTCGCCAATAACTCTCAATTGGTCAATTTACTTTTTTTTTGTCAAATTGGAAAACTTTATCAATTAGCTCCAACGAGAATCCTTGAGGAAAAGTTAACCAAAAAAGAACATTCTTAAACATAAAAAGTCGCTAGAGATTTCGTAATTTATAATCTACAAAGTATGAATGGGGAGGCCACGACTTATTTATTTATTTTTTTGTCAAAAAGAAAAAGTATGAATGGGGACAATTATATTAATGTAAAATTCGAATATGTTTTAATACTAAAAAATTGGAAAAAGATTTATATTTTATTAAAAAATATATTTGATAATAAGACGTTGAAAAAGTTTGAAAATAAACATATTATATATGAAACTTTTTAACGCAAAAAATATTATTTATTTCTCAATAATTAAACATGTTGAGATGTAAAACCTATGAACTGAATTAGGGATTCAGTCAACTTTAATTCAGTAAAAAAAAAAGATATTCTTGAGTAAATGAGTTTCTGCTAATAACTATATGTTATAAATCATATTAACTGGGAGGCAAATAGAAAATTAGAAATAGTTTTGCATAATCAGGTGGAAATAAATTATAGTGATTTTCTGTGATTTTTCCAATAAAAAAAAATAGGAAGCGGTGATTAATAGTGGATTAATCTGTAATATGTTAGTCTGGCTAGGATAAAATTCGTAATTCTATTATACAGTGGCTTAATGGTAACAAGTGAGAGTTCTGGGTCTAATTGCAAATATTTTATTTTTCATGCCCTAGGACGGGAAAAAAACAGGCTGTGGCTGGTGGTGCATTACGCCTTACGGTAACGGGAAGTAAACCCTTGTTTGGCGGCGACAGAGAAACCGAAAGGAAACGACGAGAAACCATGGGAAAACGAGAGAAAAAGCCCAAACACCAAAATCGACGTCGCCAGAGAGGATCCTTTCCGAATGATGAGGGAGATTTCGACGGAATCGATCGGTATGAGCAACACCCGCCGAGGGTTGCGGCCGGCGACGACGACGACGATCGCGAAAAAGATGAAGAAGGAGAGGAAGAGGGGAACGATGTAGATGAGGAAATACAGGAAAATGACGGGCTCCAATCATCTGATTTGCCGTCAAAGTTCCTTCTCTACCAACAATCCGTACAGGTAATGGTTTTATTCGTAATTTATGATTCACCGTTAGGTTGCCCAGAAAATGTGAACTGTTACGGGGAACAAACGCATTTCAGTGTACGACTACAGCAAAGATTTCGGCTTAGTGGTACTTGAATCGCCTGTAGTGAGAGAATTCTCGAGTTTGAAAATCATTAAGAAAAGAATATGAGATGTTATTGTGAATCTTTCTTGTGCCAAGCACCTTCACTCTGACTTTGTTTGCCGATTGAATGGTGAGGAATTGAAATCTTGAAGTGATAGTCTTTGTAGATTTTAAGATTGCCCACTGTTCTTGTTTCTGTAAGGCCATCAAGAAAAGATGTTTGATATTAGTTGGACGTAGAATTATTCATTATCTAGAGTTTATACTTTTGTCTTCTGGTTCATTAACAGATCTGGATCCCTTCCTTGGCTATAGTGTTCAGTGCCTAATTTTACTGTATGTATTTGGAATTGTACGCCTTGATGATAAGAATTAGTTCTGAGTGTGATGGGCTTCAGAGCTAGCCGTAATTGAGTATGTTCTTATGTTCTTATTATCGAAGTTCGTGGAATTTTACATGGTGGTGCAGTCACCGAAAGGGGACATAAGCTACCTACAGAAGTTCTTTCTTATGTATGTGGGTGGAAGGCAGCCTCTACATCTACAGGAAGACTTCTGTGGCACTGCCCTACTCAGGTATACTGCAAGTCCAATGCTTTTAATTGTGTACTTGCCAGCTCATGAAACTTTCCACTTTGCGTAGAAATTCATTTACATTCTAAGAAGCAAGTCATTTTGATAGCGTGGAGTGGCTGCGTACTGATTCAAGGCGGACTGCCATAGGACTAGATTTGGACCTCGAGGCACTAGAATGGTGCATGGAGAACAACATTAGTAAAGTTGGGGCTGATGGGTATTCGAGAATATCGCTTTTTCATGGAAACGTTTTGAGTCCTCACGAGAGTAAGCTAGTGAAATTCAATTCAGAAGAACTGCAAAATATGAGATTGAACGATGGTGATAGCGAAGATTCACCTGATCCTGGAGTCAAATCCTTAGAGGAAGATGGTCTTGATGCATTACCGAAGAGGGACATTGTCTGTGCTTTCAACTATAGCTGCTGTTGTCTCCACAAACGCTCTGAACTGATTTCTTACTTCAAGAATGCTCGTAATGCATTGTCAAAGAGAGGCGGTATTTTTGTGATGGATTTATATGGAGGAACCTCTGCCGAGGGACAGTTGAAACTTCAAAGGAGATTCCCCAGTTTCACGGTAAAATAGATTTTTTTTTTCGCTAGTTCAACGAGTTTCATGGATTTATATGCATGATTTCTTTTGATGCAGTATGTATGGGAGCAAGCTGAGTTCGACATTATTGGTCGGAAGACGAGGATCAGCCTTCACTACCACCTTCTGAAGCAGAACAAAAAGTTACGCCATGCATTTTCCTATAGCTGGAGGCTGTAAGCTGTTCTATGATCTTATGCTTTTCAATCCATTCTTTGTCTGAAGTAAGACAGTTAAATACCTAATATGTTCCTCAAGCCGACTAGAGCATGTTGGACTGGTGAACATTAAAACCTTTAGACACTGAGGACCCCGATTTCCATTTTGAGTGCAATAAGGGTAATGTATGGGAAACCCGAAAATCGGGGTTGATTAATTGGATCCAAGATCGGGTGTTACCCACGGGTATCCTACATTTTTGCCCCTAGGTTTTAGAGGTATTACATTTCTTGAAATCTCTTGAATTTTGGGTTTGGATTCGGGAACCCGAAAGTATTGGATACTCAACCAGAATCAACTCCTAATATATGATATATTTTAAAATATTGAAATTTCATATTTAATCTCTGGTTTGGGTATCTGTAGATATTCGAAAATGATCTTGTTTGTCCGACCCTTGGATACCGACCATAACGGATCCGAGACTGGATAATATCTCGTGAGATCCGAGATGTTCGGGTTTGGATTCAGATAACTTATGAAAATAATTATATTAATATCTCGTTCTGGCTCGACACAATCCGTGTCCTCCTCTTACTGTCCTTCCTTTACCGTTATCGCTCGTGTAGACGATACATAGATCTATGACGCACACGAAACCTAATTCCGGAAACTCAATTGAAATCATTGGATTGTCCAATGGAAAATGCAGGTGGTCATTGCCGGAGATAAAGGACTGCCTCGAAGAAGCCGGGTTTGGATCAGTTCATTTTTGGCTGAGAGAAATGCCCGATTCTTCCGAAATGCGAAGGACCGAGGGGTTTGGACATGGACGTGATCTCAAGTACGAAGAAGTTGAGAGCTTTCAGCAATGTGATGCTTGGAATGCTTATGTTATCGCTATACGGTAAGAGCTCCTAACCGATGGTAACTGGTTAACCGGCATTCCTGAGCCCGGTTTAGCAATTTGTTATGCTTCTAATTTTTTGTTGTACCACTTGAGTTTTGATTTTTTTTTAATAAAAAGGGGGGCTAAATTTCGTCGGATTTTCTTTCTTAATTTTTCATATTCTTTTTTTCATTTTTTTTTATCATAACAATGTATATAGAAAAAAAATATAGGCCTGCAATAATAATTGCGGCAGGGAAAGTAACTATAAAATACTACAGGGTGCATTATGGGTCGTCTGAAAATAAAAGTGTACAGACAGTAATATAAAATTTGATTTGTTTATTTTATTGTATTACTTAGAAAAATCACATATAAATATATAAACTTTTACAAAATTCTCAAATAAATATCTAAACTATAAAATTTCTAAATAAATATCTAAATTTTTTAAAACTTCTAAATAAATAACCAAAATTTTAAAATTTTGTCAAATGAAACAATATTAGTTGACGGTTGAGTCAATTATCGACAGGTTCGTTAATAGATTTTGAATTCATTTGGTAAATTTTAAAAAAATTGAGTATTTATATGGAAGTTTTAAAAATTTTAGGTATTTATTTGGAAATTTTATAGTTGAGTTATTTATTTAAAATTTTTATAAAAATTCAGGTATTTATATACGATTTATCTATTACTTGTTATTTTAGGTATTTATTGAGATTTTTTTGGTATATTTCAATAATTAGTGTGTTTATTTGTCAAACTAAAAGTTCGTATATATATTTTTTTTTGCTAAAATTCAAATATTTGTATGGACTTTACCAAAACAAAAAAAATCATACAAAAGGCCGCATAAATAACGTTATGTTTGTGAGATATTTATAAACGTACCTAATTTTATTAATTTTATTTCTAGACCGACTGTCTATGCCAAACACTTGCAATTAAATAATTATATTGATACTCTAATTAATGCCGACGCCAAGATCATTAATAGCAACGAATCCTAAATCAGTTTGTTAAATAGCTAATAAATAGAACAGATTAGGCAATGCTAATTACAATTCAAAATTTAATTAGCCAAGACAAAGTCAATTACAAGCTTAACGGACATTAACCCTAAAATAATAGTATAAGATTATTTTATAATAAATATCCATTTTTTTAAGAAGGGTAAAAGATTCCAAAAATGGAAATATATCAGAATTTATTTCTCCAAGGGGAATAAAAAAAAAGAAGAGAATCTCTTAGGTGAGATCCTAATTAACTTCCTAATAAAGAATGCTTCATAAACACTTGATCCTTCTTCTCTCAATTGCCTCCTCCACTGAGCCACAACATGCCTGCACTTCACAAAAGATGTGCAGAGAGAGAGAAAGAGAGAAAAAAAAAGTTTTTTTTTATTCTCTCATTCATCATCATCATCATCTCTCTCTCTCTCTCTCGAGTAGATTAGGCTTTTTCACCGGAGGCTACAAATCTCACCTTCCCTAAGTTCACTCTCAATAGACCCTTCCATCAACGTTGTTGACATGTTGTGGGCTCTGCTGAGTTTCTTTCTTAGCTGATTTTCTCCGACTTCGAAGGCATTCGAGAAATTTGAAATCGTTTTCGCCTTCGTTCACTAGCTTTTTTAACAGGGCCCAGATCCTCTGGTTTTGACCTGTAACCCTTTTTTTTCCATCTGAAGTTTCCATATTTTCCCGGGATCTGTGTATTTCGCCATCCGGGTTTCTGGGACTGAGTTTGAGAAACGAAACCCAGATCGAATCCCGAGTTTCTTTAGACTTTTGTGGAGATTTCCTCTGATGGGTGTCGAAGAATCTGAAGTTTTGGTTACAGATTCATGAGATTTTTGGAATCTCCCTTTCATTCTCTGTGTTTATGCTAAAGCCCGTTGGACCCGACAATGGATCCGAACTCAGCCCTGATGACCCGCTCTGGATCCGAGTTCCGCCGCCCATTTATCGGGATTTAACTACCGCCGTCTCCGCCGTAATCTCGCCGGGAAATCTCACGACGGCGCCGATGAAGCGTTCGTTTCGGCCTCTCTTCAGCGTTCTTTTCTTCGTGTCCCTCGCTGCAACGCTCACCTGCAGGGTCGCCATTCGTCGGAGCAGCTTCTCCTTCAGCTCCGCCATCGCGGAGCTCGGGACCTCCGGCCTCCTCAGGACTCCGGCGGCGGATAAGCTGGTGTTCAACGAGACGTTGCTGGAATTCGCCCGCATTGATCCCGGGGAACCGAAAATCAGACAGGAGATCGATCTGATATCGGATTACGACGAAGGTAGGAGAAGCCATCGAAGGCAATTCGCAGCTCGTGAAAACCGGAGATTCTCTTCGCGATTACCGGTAATGCTTAGGTCCCCTCAGATTTATCGTTACTGGTCGGAATTCAGAAGAAATTTGCAGGTTTGGGCTCGTCGAAGGGCTTTTGAACCTAATGTCATGTCGGATTTGATCAGATTGGTGAAGAATCCGATTGAGGCTCACAATGGCGTGACCACTTCCAAGGAAAGTTATTCCTCTTGTGCAGTGGTTGGCAATAGTGGCATTTTGCTGAAAACCCATTACGGAGATCTCATTGATGATCATGAGATTGTGATCAGATTGAACAATGCAAGAACACAGAGATTCGAGAAGATGGTTGGGTCGAAAACCAATATCTCATTCATTAACAGCAACATTTTGCATCTCTGTGTTCAAAGGAAAGGTTGCTACTGTCATCCATATGGTGAATCAGTGCCTATAGTGATGTATATATGCCAACCGATCCATTTCTTGGATTACACCGTGTGTAAACCGTCTCATCACGTTCCGTTGATCGTCACTGACCCGAGATTCGACGTTCTATGTGCTCGGATAGTGAAGTATTACTCGGTGAAGAGGTTCTTGGAAGAGAAGGGGAGATCGTTTCTTGAATGGAGTAATGCTCACGATGGCAGTTTGTTCCATTACTCATCGGGCATGCAGGCCGTGATGCTTGCTCTGGGAGTTTGCGAGAAAGTCAGCGTTTTCGGGTTCGGAAAAGCGGATTCAGCCAAGCACCATTACCATACCAACCAGAAAGCCGAGCTGAAACTACACGACTATGAAGCGGAATACGACTTCTATCGGGACTTGGAAAAGAATCCGAGGGCCATCCCTTTCTTGCCGGAAACCTTCAAGATCCCTCCTGTTGTGGTTTACCATTGAAAAAACTCTGGTTCTTGATCTTGTTCCCCGTCTGTTATGTGAAGTTTTTTTAGATTTACAGATTAGTTGACACACGAGCCAGATATGATTTCATCGATGGAGTTTCATCCAAGAATCGAGTTCTACATTCAAATGATTGGTTTCACATGAGCGAAATCGTGTCCCCTTTGGACAAAGTTTTGAGGTTCTTGATCATTTTCTTCTTAACACAATGTTTCTGTCATTGGATTGGGATTTTTCTTAAACGGTACTTAAATCCCAATTACAGCTTAATCACATAGGCCGAGCCCAAAAGCCCATGAAGGAACACAATCTGTTAAAAGCCCAGGCCCAATTGAACTAAATAAGAATTATCATTCCTTAAGGCCCGAAATAAAATAGAGGCCCAACAAAAGTCCAAGCCCACGATCTTCAACAAGTTTCATTGATAAAAATGGGATATAAATTATATATTTTTTTTATAAGTAATTTAGCATTTCAAATTTCTGGCATATTTTATATTTTTAATATTTTTAACTTGCACCTTGGTGGCCTTTTAAGTACATGTATTTTTTTTTCTTTTATGATAACCTACCAAATCATCTGTATAATTCAACGCACAAGGCATATAAGCTTACAAAAAGAAAATAACAAACATATAATATGAAATGACATTCTATTATCAATTTTTTTTTTTATGAAAATGGCTAAACATCGAAAAAAACAGTAGTTAATTAATATAGAAAAAGCTTTTTTTTGAGCAATTAATTTTAAGATTAAAGATATTGGCCAATTCAAACATTATCTAATTGTGTAAGCAGGAGAAGCCGCGTTATATCTAAATTCGGCCATTAGCTTTTCACACCACAATTTGCTTTTTCTCCTTATTTATTCATTTATTATTTTATTAAGATTGATTATATATATATATATATATATATATATATATATAGAAAGTCCCTTTATCTCGAAAGACAGAAAGAGGATTTTCATTGTCCAAAATCAATCATGTCCTTCACACGGGAAAAGAAAACAGAGGAAACAATGAAGAAAAAACGGCTTATGCCATAACTTTTTTCCACACGGTTTTAAAGTTTATGATGTGCAAAATTTTATTTTGTTTTCTTTTCAATTTGGATATAAAACCTTACGCATCATTTCCATTGGAGCATAATGCTTACATCTGTATCATTTTCTATACTATATTCCATTTATTTAAAACTATAATAAAAATCAATACTATATATTGGCCTACGAATTTTTTAAATCCGAGAAATATACACAATGTTTAAATGAATATCTTATAGATAACTGTGGTTATTTAATATGGGTCCATACATATTTAGGATCATTACATATATAGATACCGAAAAGATAAAAAATTTATTTTATTAAGTACGATTTAGAAATTTTATAGACAATCATTTACTGTAAAAAAAATATTTTCTTGTGCTTTTTTTTTTCCTTTATCATATTTACTTTAGTAATGGATTTTTGTATCTTTTTTTGTTTGTTCTACTTTCAATATTCTTTACGTGTAAATATTCATGATATAGGTTCGAATAAAATTTTAGTATTTTGGTAAGATATTAGTAATAACTAAATTATATCTAAGCAAATATTAGATAATAAAACTCAAATTTGGATGATCTACACCGGATTTAAATCTAACCATAATGATGTACACTCATTCGTATTTTTCTGATAATTTGGAAGATATAGTTACGTCAAATGTTTAGTGAACTTTTTATTATAAAAACAAAATTAGACAATAAAATCGTACCAAAATAAAAATTTTAGTTTTTTATGTATATCTTTTAATACTATTCAATAATTGAAATTATGTATAAATATACAATAAATGGTTAAAAATGGAAAGTAGACGGTATTTGTAGAAATCAAAGTCTCGGGTCTTCGAAAATAGACTTAGAGGAGAAGAAAATCTTCAAACTTTTTTAGTTCAATAAAATACCTAATCATGAAATCTGTAGTCTTTCTTATAATCATTAGGGATTTGATTGTAATTTGGTATGGAGCAGGAAAAAAATAAAGCCTCCAAATTGGACCCTTAATTAACCCTTAACACCCCTTTTTTGCTCTCCTTTTGTACGTTCATTGGATTTGACCTCATGCTCCATTTGATTTGTATCCAAAACCAGAAAAATATTTCATAAAAAATTATAATCAAAATATAATGTTCATTGATGAAAATAAATACATTTGCAAAGGCATTGAATATACAAATCTATATATATATATTCGAGGACAAAACAGGAATAAATGGATTCAAGTTTCAAGCCTCTCGTCAGTAGAATAGAACAGAATAAGAATTGGTTTGGTCTGGTCTAGTTCGGTTTGGTCCGGTTTGGTCCGGTTCAATTTGGTGGGGGTAGTTGCGAGCAAATCCTAGATAGTGCCGTGATAAGCGCGTATAGTACAATCAGTCTCCTTTTATCTCATCATTGAATCTTTGGTTCTCCTCATTTCTCTCTAACGCGACAACACATTTACAATTTTATGGAACTTGTCACCTAATACATGCAAATATATACACATTTATAATACATATATATATGTATATGTATGTTAAGATGAAACTAGAAAATTTAATATCGTTAATAAAAAAAATGATTTTAGTTTATTTTTATGGTTGTATATAGACAAAATTAATACATTTTTTTTTATTATATGTGAATTAATTTAAATACTTAATAATAGCTAATGGTTTGAATGTAACTAAACTAGATTAATCTATGCATATAATCAAAATGAAAAATATTTGACAAAATACCGCCTTTTTATGTTACGTATCCAAACAAACACTAAACGTATAAAAACAGCAACCGATCAAACATCATTGTTTTATGTGAATTTCCACAAATACCCTTTGGATACAACAGTAAATAATACATCCTTTAACACAAGTAATTTGGAAAAATTAAGAATATATGTTTCATAGTTAGGGGCAGTCGACCTATGCTTGTGTCACAAACTAACGTTTATACATATGGGTGTAGGTAAGGTAACAAGGACGATGTCGACATTAAATGGGATTAATGTAACTCGCCTTGTGAATTTATTTTTTTAGGCTGTATTATATTATATGGTGTTTAATCAAATATGGATATTCCACATATAATACAAATCCATTTAAATTTTTATAAACACTCGGTACAAATATCGAAAGACAAGTAATACGATGAAGTCTCTATATATTAAACGATCATCATATTATATATACGATATGATACCAAAACACACATATTATTAGGGTTTACAGATATATATATATATATATATATATATATATACACACACACAACACAAAAGTCTCTAATGAGGATTATCATATAATGATGAAGCACACGAATTTTCTCCTCCACTATGAAGCATACAAAGCCGTATACGTGGATACATTATACATGAGAGAGAGAGACCAGAAAATTCACGTGCTTCACCACTTGAAGACACTCACTCTTATTAGATAGATAACTAAAAAACCTAATTATTATAAATTATTGATTACTAGAGGATAATTAAGGGATTAATTGACCAACCCGCCAATGCTCCCCTACAAATAGATCCCTTGTGAAAGAGAACTTTTTGTTAGTGAGCATGAGCTTTTTTTTAGTTGCCTTTGATCAAAATCCCACACCAAACCAAGAACCCTAATATGGGTTATATAATTAGCTAACACACCAATCTTCAAACCCATGAAAAAAGAAAAGAAAATGCTTAGATAGACCGGGTTTCGATATCTGGACCGACATCTAATTATATGCTTATTTCGTCGGTTAAAGCATCAAGAAAAAAGGATCATGAATTTCAAAATGTTGCTCCATCATCTTTGAAAACAATATTTGTTAGTCGATAAATCGAGTCTAACAAAGAATTTCTTCCTTGTGCAAAGATAGAAATTCTTTAGTAGACTTGAGTTTTTATGTAGTGTGAACCCTAGATAGGAGCAACATAAGAAAATTCAGACCTTTTTTAAAGAGCACCTTACCGATTTGATGATCGATAGACCGGTCAAGATATCGCATACCCGGCCCGGGCAAATTCACTCGGCAGTGACACATTCCTTCTCCTCCTCGAACCCGTCGACAAGAAGAGAAGGGTGAGGAGAATGTCCTTTCCCAAACGACCTAATGTGGTCCTTAAGAGACCTCTTGTGCTTGAAATCGGACCCGCAAGTGCAATACCAAAGCTTCCCGCAATTTTTCTCGTGGGTTCGCCAGTCTCCTTTCACGGCCAGCGCCTTTCCGCATTTCCTGCAGGAGAAGGGCTTGGACCCGTGCTTTCGCTTGTAATGCGTTTGGAGTGTACGGAAATCTTTCAGGGGCCTGGCTCGTGGATGGTTGATGTTGTTCTTGCAACCCACGGCACAGCAATAGCACGGCAGACGTAGGATTGCCGCCGGTTGTGTCGTGCCCTTCAGTGACTCGGGCCCCTTTCGGAATTCGGATCCATGCCCCCACATATGCATCTGTGTAAAATTACCAATGAATGTTAAGTCCTTTGATCTTTTGAAACGAGCATCGAATTTCTATACGTTTGAATTCATATATAGTTTTTACGGACTTTGAACTCGTCGTAACGTTTACATGTTGATCACATCGTATGTTAATATCATTCCTAAAACTAAGTTTATCCGTTAATGGTGAATTAGTGGTTGAGGGATCAAGATTTGGAGTTCACCGAATCTGATGGCTTTATGTCTTAAAGAGACACCCACTTAAAAAAATCTTGTTTCTTTGTTTAAAGAAGCAATCTCTTTAAACTCCAAAAAGCATATTTTTAACCAAAAAGATTATATATTAAGTGGTAAAAGAGAGAATCCTAAGTGATTATATAGAACCTAATGATACTTAATTATAATCTTTAAAAAAAAAGAAATCAGAGGTTCATTAGGTTAAGCAATCGATTGCAATTTTTTTTTTTAAAAAAAAGCGTGATCATCCTCTTTTTGTTTGGTGAATGATATTTTACTGAACCCAATCTATGATTATTCTTTTGCTTTGTCTTTTCATCCAAAAGGGAAGGCAAAGAAGGGTGACAAAGTCAAAAAGGAATTGTGATCATGCAAATTTTTATCAACTAATTCTCCAACTAATCAAGGGATTAGGTTGCAAATTTACACATTTCGTTTAATTGATGGATGGGATATACACACAAATGACAAACCCAACTGGCCGGTAATTGTTTAATTACATTAGCACTTATACTTTGTATCCAATTATTAATTATAACCATTGTAATCATTATAACCCAAAGGAAAATGTATGCAGTACAGTTTGTATAAAGATATATATATATAGTCGTATAAGATTTTTTTTTAATAATGTCAAGTATTAGACATTGGTGGGACAAAAGCTGTAATTGTAATAAGTTTGTCTGTTTCTTTCTAAAATTTTAGAATATTTCTGATTAAACGAAATTTCTGAGGAATATACTCTTGAAAGCCAAAAACAGGTAGTTACAATAAGTGACACAATGCATACCTATACACACACATACTGATGTGATGCGTATACACAAATCTGTATTCATATATGTTTATAAGCACACATAATATTTGCTAGTTATATGATTAATGTCATATATATGTATATACACATACGTGTAACGTATAAATACTATAAAAATCAAAATTAAGACTAATGTGGACTGACCTGCATGTTATTGTACCTATTGAAGGTCTTGCTGCAAATAGAGCAAGCGAAAAGCGTTGGCCCTATGAGAATCTGAGCAGGACTTGGGATCCAAAACCTTTTCCCTGAAACATCCAAATCCAAATCACTCTCAAAGCTCATGATCTTCCTCCTCTTCATCGTCACTCCATCGTCATCATCATCATCACCATCATCACCATCACCATCACCACCATCTTCTTTCTTGATAGTGGTATCAGAATCATCTTCAGAGACAATATTACGATCGTAATTGGGAAGTCCAATGTGGAGAGCCACTGTGACCTTCCCTCCTTCGACCTCGAAAGCTTCTTTGATGTTCCTGTGTTGATTGGATTCAGGGGTTTTCTCCATCAGCTTGTTCAGAAGCGGCAAGCACTGGATTTTTCCCCCTTCGGATTCTTCTTGCGATTGATAGAACAAAGACCTTTCAGACATGTTTGTCTGGTAATCCCCAAGTAGAATCTGTTTGGTCACAAGGGACAACAAAGACGAAGGCAACGAAGAAGGATAAGAAGAACAAGAAGAAGATGAAGGTTTAAGCCATTCAATGAAGCTTGGAGCTTGGTGGTGAAAGCTTAAACCCCTTCCATGGCTATTCCATAAACTCATCTCTCTCTCTCTCTCTCTCTCTCTCTCTCTCTCTCTCTCTCCCCCCTCAAGGTGGGTTAGATTTGTGGGTATGGGTATTAATCAACTTCTGTCGTGTGTATGTATCGATTTGTCAAAATAGAGTCTTTTTTCTTTCCTCTCCAAACGTTCTTAATTGTTCTTAATTTTCAAACCTCCTTTTATCTCCCTACCCCAACACATACATATGTACATGTGCGTGTGCGTGTATATATATATATATATATATATATAATAAGCACGTGTGTGTTGCCGGCTAGTGTACGTTCGCACGCGCGTGTACGTGTTCACATAAACAGGCAAAGAAGAGAGCGAGTTCTTGTATTGTGTTTTGTTTGTTTTTGACTTTTTCGTGGTGGGGTTTTGTATTAGTGAAAGGGAAACGCACAAAGGCTTTCTATGGAAGAGAATCCAAGACTCTTAACATATATTACATACATCTTCATTGTGTTTTCCTTTCTTTACTCCTTTTTCTTCATACAACATATAAAACCTTTTTTTTTTTAAATTTCATCATATGGACCGGCGTAGACAGAATCATCATTTCATGAAAATTTATAGTATCAAGATGACGTACCTTATTATTACCGTCTTTTTTGGGGCATTTTGAAGAAAAATAAAACCATAAAAAAAAATCATCATTAAACATGTTTCAGAGATAATCCCGATATCAAAAACCATTTCGAATCTTGATTAAATTGATTTCTATATCTCATGATCAAGATATGTTGGAAATGTGAAAACCAATTTTTCGGGTGAATACTAAAATATGCAAAACCGATGTTTGATTCGATACTTAAAAAAAATCAAATTCGATATTGATTTAATAAAAAAACCCAGTTTAATATTAGTTCGACCACTTGGGATAATTCAATATTTGTTCGGACACCAAAAATGCAATTACATGGTATTTTGGGTGCATTCTCTCCCTTTACATTTAGAAATGAAGGTTCAATATGATAACATATGTGTTTAGTTTTAGATATAAGTATTTGCAGTTATGTTATATGATTCTTGGAAGACGAGGGAGTGGAATTTGACCCTTAAGCACAAGTTTTGTCGGACAACGCCTAAAATAAATTAAATCAATTCCATTATAATATTTACAAATGTTACCACAAATATATTAGGTATATATAATTATAGATTAATTCAGTCTAATAATGAAGGTGAAAGTAGTGTTATTATATATGATGTTTAATTTGTGTATATATACTTGGGTTAGCACACTTGTATATGTTGGGGTAAAGTTTTTATTTTTAATTTAAACTAATTTTATATCTACACCAGTTTCCTTTTTCCTTTTGTATACTAATACTGTTGATTTAACTTTATAATGATGGGATATATATATATTTTTTTCCCAAGTATCATAGCTTCAACTTTATTTTTTTTAGCTAAACGTACGATAATCCCTACGCAAAATAAAACTTTACGACACCTTTAAATCCAGGCACTAGTGGTCGATGTATAACTCTCAAGCCATGTCATAGAAAAAAATCTTTCTAATGAAAAACAAAAAGCAATAACATGTAGTAAAAAAAACCCTTACTAATTAATATATATAGAATATCTGAAATTACATGTCATAATTTCGTTGAAGATCATATGAGTAGTAATTTATGATTATAAAATCAATAAATTTGATAGAATTTCAGAAATATTATGGTATGTAGGATTGAATTCGAATACATGGACCGACCGATCAACCTTCTAACGGGTGAGGTTGACATGAAATATTTTGTTTCATCGCCGAATTCCGCACATCTCATGAAGAAAAAAAAAATTGTTAGAGATCATTCACCTAATTTGTGTAAGTTTTCTTGCCTTAGAATATTAGGAGGTTTCTTCATCAACGGTGAGCTTCGGAAGCTCATAACTCTTATTGGAGATTATTTGAGATTTTTATTATTCAATATTTAAGATTGCAATATATAAACACTAAGAATTATAGAAAACCCAATTGTCTAAATATCTAAATAAAAAAATCTAAACCAAATAAAAATATAACAATATATAAACTCTTCATGTTCTCTAACATCCCTAAACTTCTTGTCAAGCTCAATGGATTTTTCTCAAATAATTGAAATATATCACGGGATATACTATTATCATTATTATAATTAATTGCGAAAATTAAACACACACATGCATACATATGGATTTAAAATGTGGTAAAAATACAGGAAAGAAAAGGAAATATGATTTGAAAAATCAAATAAATGGACAAAAGGAAGATCGAGACCGGATTTTAAGGAGATGCGAACAAAACGCTAAAGAAGAAGTTCCTTGTCTCTTCGCGCCCCTTTTCTTCTTGTTCGTTTCTTGCTTTCTCCAAGATTCTCACTCTTCTCCAAGAACTGCCTCCTCACTTTATTTCTGTTTTTTAAATTTATTTATCAATCTGAAATTATTATTTTTTTTCCTTACTGAAATGCATGCAATCGATATTTTCTTCTACTACGTAACATTTAAAGAAAAAAAATTAAACCTAAATTTTGATATTACATACAATTCTACAAATGGTTTTATATATCTTTAATTTGTATTCATTCCCATCATCTGTTGTGAAAGAAAATTTTCTTTTGGAAGTTCCCATCTCATACTTGAAAATTAAATATTTAAAACCTAATTTTAGATATTGATATAAATTTTATAAATTGTTCGATCCTATATAAATTATTGTATTGATTATCCTCATGAGTGATGATAAATATGATAAAGTAGAGGTCGTATATATTCTATAACATATATATCTTTTCAGATTTTGTATGTTTAATAATATTTAAATTTCTGTCTATTGAATACATAATTATATTTAACATTTAAATTACAAATGATAGATCTTTAAAAATAAATTTATAATTTTGTTTTTGTTAATGTTCCAAATTTATTTGGAATATCAGTGATTATAATAAATATAATCTTACCATTGTTACCAATAGATGGAATCGAAATTACAGTAAGAATGAAACAAAACTTACAGTTTTTACTATTGACACATTTGTGAGATTCGAATGAAATAAAAATGACGTCACTAAGGTGTAATAAAGTTCCAATTCTTTTTCGAAAACTTCGGACAAATATATAAAATTACAAGAGTTAAATTTGGATATTTATTTTTATTTTATAGTCTAATCAGATATCATTGCTGCATATGTTTTAGACATGATCATTAATTTATTTTTACCCTTCCTACTATGATGATTCTCTCCAACACTTTAATGATAATTCGATATTTAGTTTTAATTTCTTCCCTCCAATGAATAATGCATAACCATTATTAAATTTGTGCACCCATAATGCTACCTAAAGTTGGCAAAATAAAAGGATGTAAATGCATAATTATATTTTTTGGTATAAAATAATATAATTTATTGATTCAAATAATTTACTATTTATTATATGATGTTTAAATTTATCACAAATACGCAAGTTCTTATATTACAATCTTTTTATTAGAAACATACATTGCACGACAGAAAACAAGCTGAAAATTTACAAAAAAAAAAACAATAATCAGAAGCTAATACTTTTAAAACGTTTTAAAATTAGCAACTCTATGTATTGTGTACCTAGTGGTTATAATATTAAAATTTAATATAAATTTCGAATATTTTGAATTAAATTCAAAATTCAATCTTTAATATATATATATATATATATATATTACCGATATACTAAAATTGCAATATTGTGTTTTGGTTGGGGCAGAGAGGACATTGTCAAATTGGGAGCATACCAACCTCTTATTTACTTCTTATACTTAATTGTGCGAAACATTAATTCAACATAAAATCCTTTTCGGTAACATAATGACCGCAAAAATTTTATTAAAAGAAATATAAAATGCATATTAATTATATTTATAATACATGTCGTTGAGATTTCTATTAGGAACATAAAGTGTAGACCATTTTCTTCGTAAGTAAAACGATAGAAATTAAAATAAAAGTTATTTGAAATTCGACCCACCTGACGCCTAACCTTTTAGACTTTTCAATTTTCAGATTATTATTATTATCATCATCATAATCATCATTATCATCTCAATTAGATATGCATTACTCTATGTGGACTAGTTAAACTTTAACTACCAATTTGAGGAAATAAACACACGGATTAAAAACCAAACCGAAAATCAAATGGTCGGTTTACCGAAATTGATCCGGTTCGGTTAGTATTACTGAACCAGTCCGGTCCGGTCAGTGTGTTTTTTAAAGCCCACAATGGAACCTGAACTCGGCCCATTGTAAATCCATTTCAGTCATGCTCATCTATAAAGACCACCACCAATTGTCTCCGTTTAGATTATATCATTCGTGTCTATTTAATTTTATTTAGATTCAGTTTTCTTTGCAAAATTGCTCGTTTTCTCAAAATAATTGTTTTCTTTCAGTTTTTATCAATATTTTGATATTCAAATAATTTTCTGGTAGTTTGGTTTAATTAATCCACAACTGATTATTTTGGTTCTATTTGGTTTTGTATAGAGTTTTTTTTCTTCAAATATAAAAATCTGGAAGTGACAAGGAAAGGAGAAATCTGGATATGCACATTTCGTTAACTCCCATATATATATAGAAACACAAACTTAGGTATATATATATATATAACAAACCATCGATCATTCTTCAATTATTCAGATCACACACACTTCCTATATACATGCATACACACACACACATAGGTATATATATATATACACACAATGCATGCAAAATGCACTAGGTTATAAATTAATACGTAGGGGCAGTAAGTACACAGGTGTGTGTGTATATATATGTGTGTGTACGTATGGGCAGGCGACAAAGTTAGCGGCGTCTGGAAGCGGTCTCACGTTGGCAGTTGAAGAAGACAGCGGCGACAGGGAGGCCGAGATCGTTCTCTTGGGCGAAGATTCGAGTGTTGAATTGGTCACGGTACGATGGTACGGACACGACCGAGCTCCTGCGCTTCTGCTTGAACAGCATGAACACGAACCTGTGTATCCCTATGTTTGGTCTCGGCATTTCATACCCTATCATCTCTTTCCATCTGTTGTGAAAGAAAATTTTCTTTTTTTGATATGATGCTTCCGAGAATCAAGAAGATATGATCAACGTACCGAATGTGGCATCCGTTGTGCCCGGTATATCGGTTACAATCCTAAAGATTGATCAAGAAGTGTGTTAGCAAAGAAATATCAATCATATATATGTAATATCATTTAATTAGGGTTTACTTTTTTCCTTGTATAATGTTACTCATCAATACATATTTTTGGAAAGATATATATATATGATTCAAAACTGTAACCCGAAAGAATGTGTCTTAGAGTTCAAACCATTTGGATCAAGAATCTTAGTCGTAACTTAGATTCAAACGTATCAAAATTAAATTAAAGTGATGCATTTGCAACAAACGATTAATTATAACCAACAGATATCATAAAAGGGGCCTATATATATGTATATATAACAGAGAAGTGATTTGGATTTCATGTGTGGATGATTCATGATATTTCCCTTAGTTTTTTTATAGAAGTGATTTGGATTTCATGTGTGGATGATTCATGATATTTCCCTTAGTTTTTTTATAAAAAAAACAAATAGGTTATATGAAAGTGAAAAGTAATTACCAGTGCAAATGCTCTCTGAGATAAGGATCACTAGGACCAGGAACGTCTGGATCTGTCATCACCTGACAATAACGTATAATTAACGTGATATATCAATGTACACACACATGCATGCATACATAAAACTATATATATAAACATTAACGCGCACATATATATACAAAGATTATTTCAAATAAGTCTAGATACTTGGGTGTACTCTTTAATTACCATAGTAATTCCGTAGATATATACACATGTATATATATATATGTGTTCATGCATAGATATATAGGGAAATATAGTGTGTGTGTGTGTATATCTTGATTCTTGTGTGAACTTACTCTATTGTATTGAATAAATAAATATGTATTTGCTAACCAGAGTGAAGAATGATCTCATGTCACACCCATGAACTTCAACCTTGGGCTTGTTAGCGACGGTCGAGGGAAGAAGTTCATGGCCGTTGTAGACTTGCTTGCTGGAGCCATAGGTTACTGTCATTTTCACAACATGCGTGACATTATCGACTATGTCTCCGATCACTCCCCCGACAACGAGAGGGTCCGAATACATCCTGGCCATCTCCAAATATAGCTTATCGATCGAATATATGTTTACTTGATGGTTCAATGAAGCATAAAGCGAGATCAAATATTTATAGGGTTGAGAGGACAGTGGCCGAAACCCATCTGATTTGACGTTTGGATCTAAGGAACTTGAGAACAGAGTGGGTGGGCTAATTAGAAATAAACGACGAATTTGTAATAAAACTTTTTATTGATGCTTCCTAAATACGAATTGCGAAGTTGTAGAGAATTATTTAATGATAATGCAATGATATGTTACATATCATTTAAACCATGACGATGATAATATTTTAGAATGTGTAAATTGTTATGGAATATCTTAATTTTGATCATGATTATCGACCACACACACACATATATATATATATATATATATATATATATAAAAGTTAGTTAGTGACGATGGCAATATCGCCAATCTTTTTTTTTTAATAATTCGGAAGTTCACCGAATTCTATTGCCCTAATTACCTCTCTCCAGAAAACTGAAGAAGTCCATGTGAATGTCCCTTCCCACGTTTGAGTTTGAACCTAGGATAAGAGTATGTTTTGCAAGTTCTCTTAATACTAGACCACCCAAACTTGGGTCGCCAATCTTTTGGTATTTTGAATTTATTATCTATTTTTATATGACGATACAAAGTAAAGTCCATTCATAATTTTTCTTGTGATGAATTTTTAATTTGTTCACAAGAGGAGAAAAAAAAACATTTCTCGACAACTGTTTTTTGGCTGTCAAGAAAAAAAAATGTAATATACTTGCCACATAAAAATATTTAAAAGTTAATAATTTATGACTCGTGTTAAAATGGGGAGCATCAATGGTGCATGGGGAATATATATATTTTTTTGGCTTTTGCTCTTTTCTTTGATTCCCATTTCTTCAGAATTAGATTGTTTGTTCTGTAATTTTTAAATTTGTCGATAATCTTTTCTTAAACTATTGATACGTGCTTATATAATAATAATATTATCATCCAAATACATAAAATAATAAATAAAAAAACATAACAATTGAAACGGAAAACGTTAAACGAGTACCATATTTAATGGTGTAATCATGCAAAAGAGAATTATAATTCAAAAGGTTATCCTATATATGTCACGAAACCCCATGGTATATTTTACACGACTCTTGATTTTTCATGGTGCATGCACGTAAGCTTTTTTTTTTCTCCTCACCACTACAAAAGGGGCATTCCATAATGCGTGTTAATTTTTTTTTTGTAACGGTAAATAATGCGTGTTAAATTTTAAAATCACTCGAACCAATAAGTGGATGACAAGTGGCAAATCCACAGTATATGGTCCTTCGAATTTCTTAATAACCTTTTTTTTTTGTATTTGATTTACATATATGATACATTAATTATTCAGTTAATCATCAGATGTTTTCAAGAAAACGCATACTCGCTTTTTTTTTTCCGTGGGTGGAATGAGAATTTAACACCACGTCACTCTTCTTTTGCAGTTAGGGTAACAAGAAGACAAAACATTTCTTTAAAAGAATAATATTTTATATATATATATATATTAGGAAAATAAAAAGAAAATATATTCTCTACAAGGTGTTGCAATCACAAACCAATCAAATATTATTCTTTTAGACTTTCCATTTTAGGAAATTTCAATGTTAAGATAAAGGAAACCACTCACAATGTGTCTCCCACACATCCACGGGCTGACAAAGTGTGAAAGGTCAGTTCTTCTCACACTCTTTGGTGCATATACATACATATATAATTATATATATATATATATATATTCTTGACAAAATATTCGAACTAAGAAATTAGGGTTTCCACTAATAGAAACTCTGTTCTTGAACAAAGTCTGCGAGTGCCACGTCCAAAATGTTCTGTTGCATGTGATCCTGAAGGTAATTTTAACAAAAACATCTTTATTTAGTTATATATATATATATATATATATATATACATATATATATCCCAAGATGTTCATGCTTCATTTCCCAAATCATTAAACACATTAGTAAATTTCCCAACAGATACAATATGGTTATTTATGTGCATATATTACATTACATTACATGTCCGGTAAGATTAAGAAGAAGGATTCATAACTATATACTATAACTAACCGGTGGTTCGATTTGTAATAAAAGCAAACTTACCATATGGATAATGCGGCAACGGAGACCTCGGCGTTCTTCAGATATCCCGCGAACAGTACGAGTGCCATGAAATACCATATCTCCAAACTGCACCGATAATATGAATTTCAATTTTAAAAAATACAATTACAAAATATATATGAATTCAAGATCGTTATATATATATATATATATGCTTCGAACCGCTATTGGAACACGTCGAATGAAGTTATATTATATTCCTAATAGAATTTATAAATACATCTTTTTTTCCCCTTGTGAACAAGAATATATTTAACGTGCATTATAGAATAATTTGTGCAAAAATTTCAACTCTCAATCAATAAATCATATATGTAAGGCCACCAGAAAAAAAATCATATCGGATGTATAATTGGAATATGTCGTATTCGAGGAGATAAACAATCTATTGAAATCAGGCCGATTTTTGTAATAGACAGACAACTAGTTATATTGAATTGGATATGTTATACGCATATTGTATTTTCCAAGAAAAAAACTTGATAGTGCCATTGTTTAATTGATATGATGGTCCATATATTCTCCATTTCGTAGAAAACAAATATAATATCGACTAATTTTGTTACATTCATTTCCTGTTTGGGCTATGGATTATTCTCTGTTCGTTTTCCTTAGATTTATCGTTCTTTTTTTTTTAATTTGTACGATTTAGGGTTTCGTGGCCGAAGAATCAAAAAGCCAAATGGCGCAACTTTAGTGGGAAGGCGTAGCTATATGTCGTGGAATTCATGTTGTCTTTTTTCCTTTTTTTTTTTAAAAAAAATTTCATTTTCCTTTTCATGCTACACGTTGTCCGATTTTTTTTAAGAACCATTTTTTAAGTGAAACAGAAAAAAAAAACAATTTCTGACGTCATGTTTTTTGTACATATATTTTATACATCCGAATTATTTTCCTGTTAACATACACATTTTGCTCGAATTCAAATACGCTTTAAATATCACAGATGCTAAAAAAATGAAATTATTTGCCCTAGAAAGAAACCTTTTTAAAAAAAATTATTTACAACCAAAATATTTAGTCTAGAAGAAAAATAATTAGGGGAAGAAACAAGTCGGGGCCTACGCAAAACCGGAATAATTAAGGTCCAATTCCATTGTCTCATAGCCCAATAAAGAGGTACAAGTTTTATATATTTGGGCTTTGTTTAATTTGCTTTTATAATATTGTGCTTTGTTTGAACCCTATATTAAACACTTACATCATAGTTAGTCTAAGATGTAATAACATATATACTACAAGTATAATTATTTTAAATGATTTATTATAAAAAATATATAATTTGAAAGTAAAAATATAAATATAACCCTTTCAACCAAAAAATTTGCTCATTATAACATATATGACAGTGACCAAAGAATATTCCCCCCGCGAGGCATCTCTCCCAACGAGGGAACCCACTTGCAGGGAAAAGAAAAATTCCAATTAATTTGTGATCCGGCAAATATGCAAAATTCCCAAAAAATAAAATAAAATAAAATAATAAACTGTTATTTTGAGATTGAATTATTTTTTTTGTTTATAATTTATTTTAATCCTATCAACTTTCCAATACTAACTATAAAGTATCAAATGTTACAAAATATTAAAGAAGAGAAAAAAAAATGTAAGTGGTGTGTATGGAATATCCAATAAATAAACCTAGGAAGAACTTAACCACGCATATACATACATACATATATATATATATATATATATATATATATATTGGAAATACGAAATAGTGTACGTCTTAAGGTACAAAAGGAATATGGTCTACCAAAGGCATCTGAGGAAGAATATTTCATTGGTTTACACAATCATTCACTCAACCCAATTGAATACTCAACCGAATCGACTAATTACTTCTTCTCCAAGCCGTCGTCTCGCTGCATCATCTCCGCCATTTGACGAAACCCATCACCCATTCCAAAACCCTAAACCGGAAACCCATCTTTCAAGCCATTGGAGATTCCTGCGAGATTCGAGATCGTCGGTTTCTTGTCAGGTAAGTTTTCTCTGCTCCTTCCGAAACTTTGGCTGTGTTCTTCGGTTTGACAGTTTCGCCTTCTTGTGTTCTGTAATGTGCTGTCAGAGGAATCTGGCTTCAGGTCCGATGGAGGATCCTCCCGCGATTTCGCCGAGAATTCGGCTACGGGACGGGAGATTTCTGGCTTACGCAGAGAGAGGGGTTCCGAAGGATGAAGCCAAATACAGGATCGTTCTTGTTCATGGCTTTGGGAGCTCCAAAGAAATGAACTTCAATGCTTCACAAGTACCTATATACCTCTCAGAACTCCTATCTTTTTTCCTGTTTCCTGGACTGAATTCTCATGGGATCTGAGCGTTGGAGACATAAAACAAAACTAGGGTTTGGATTTGGTAATAGGGGTAGATGTGAAGGATTCTTGTTCTGGTGTGACTTGTGAATTAGTTCTTTGTGATAAGCAATGATATGGGAACTAAGATTTGGAAGCATTTCCAGTGACCCATTTGCAGAATTTGAATGAGGGTTTTTTGAATTTCTTGTCAAATTAAAGGTTATGCTTTGCTATGTTGAATCCTCTGTTTACAAGAAGATCGAGATTGGAAACCCATGATTCTTGTTGTGTCGTGAATGGAAATTGTTAGAAGAGGAAACCTCACCTCGCTTTTTAGTTTTCAGGAGCTGATAAAAGAGCTGGGGATATATTTTCTGCTCTACGACCGAGCTGGATATGGGGAATCTGATCCAAACCCGAAACGGTCGTTGAAAAGCGAGGTTCTTGACATAGAAGAACTTGCAGATCAGTTGCAGATTGGATCCAAGTTTTACCTGATTGGAGTTTCCATGGGGTCATGCACTACTTGGGGTTGCCTAAAACACATACCTCACAGGCAAATCATAAAGAAAAAAAACCAACACCCGAATAAGACTTAAGAACTTGTTCAAAGATTCTGAAACTCTGTTCTTGCAGGCTTGAGGGCGTGGCGTTAGTAGCTCCAGTGGTGAATTACAGATGGCCTTCGCTTCCGAAGAAGCTTATCAAGAAGGATTATAGGCGAGGGATTATCAAATGGTCGTTCAGGATATCGAAATACGCTCCGGGACTGTTACATTGGTGGATCATTCAGAAGCTTTTCCCATCAACTAGCTCGGTCCTCGAAAGCAATCCCGTCTATTTCAACAGCAACGACATCGAGATTCTCAAGAGAACAACGGGTTTCCCAATGCTTACAAAGGTAAGTTAGATATACAGAATAAAAACCGGGTGTTTCTGTATTAAGTGATAATGGCTTCGGAATGATGATCATTCTTCCGATAGGATAAGCTGCGGGAAAGGAACGTCTTTGATACGTTAAGAGATGATTTCTTGGTGGGATTCGGGCATTGGGACTTCGATCCAGCGGATCTAAGCATTAGTTCGGACAGTTCAGTGCATATTTGGCACGGCAACGAAGACAAAGTAGTTCCCTTTCAACTTCACAGATGGATCGTAAAGAAGCAACCTATGATCAAATACCACGAAATACCCGAAGGCGGGCATTTGATTGTTCACTACGATGGCACATGTGACGCAATTCTACGGGCATTGTTGCTCGGGGAAGATCAGAAGCAGCATAGACCGGGCATATCGGCTGCAGCTGAATGAAAAAAATGATTGATCTTCAGAAACTATTCAAGGATTTGGTTTGCATTTGTTTGATTCTCAAAAGAAGTTTTAAGACATTGTATCTGCTTGTCCTTGATGTCTGTTTATACGGTTCGCATTCGGATTATTTCTTTTGTTGTGTATTCATTTTTTGTAAAAAAGGGAAGCTGTCCAAAATGTATATGAACATGTAAAGAAGTGGGTATTGAAAGTGCCTAACCATATCTAATGCCATTTTCTAAATAAAAAAAAAATCTCTTTATTATTTTCTACAAACTTAAGTTTCACATTTTACTTCTACACTTGAAAAAATCTTATTTTCACTCAGCAGATCAAGAACATAGGATATGATTATTGGTAACTCGTGAGATTATTTGATCTTTTTCAATCTTAACTTTTACCAAAACATCTTCATCTCTTTCTTTTCGTTTTCTAAATGTCAATCTCTCATCTCTCTCGTATTTGTCTCTCTAATTACTGATATTTTACTTTATAAATAATTTTGTTAAAATTAGATTTGTCAAAAATAAATTTGTTTTTGATAGCCATTATCACAAAAAATATATTTATAAATAAATCATGTTTTTGAGATTATAAAAATACAAACCAACACACACAAATGATTATATTTGTCAAATCGTAGATGTATATAAATAAAAATTATTTCACTGTTAGTACGTAAATAAATAATTATTCAATATCTATTTTGTGGGAGGAAACCACGTGAATATAACGTGTTCTTGAAGTTTTGAACTTTTTTGGTGTGCCAAAAAACCGTTAACCATTTTTGTGAGATTATAAGATAATCGAAATTATTTTTGTGAATATAATTTTGTTTTTTTTTTCTATTCTCTTTGGATTGTAGATGGATATATAAGCGAGAAGTATAGTGATAAAAAAGATATGTATATCCAAATTCAAATCAAAATAACGATTAGGTTAAAAAAAAATAAAGGATTTCTCTTGTTCTTTTTGTTATTTGGTAGGTATTTTTTTTTTAGATTTTGGTATAATTGATTCTAAATTTTAAAATTTGAGATATATATCAGAATTTGGATAATTAAATTTAAATTTGAAATTTAAGATATGTATAAGAATTTTAAGTTTACTCACTTATAATACTTTTTCTATTTGATGATATGCCAATTAAGATAGTTTTTAATTACTAAACTAAGTTAAATGGATTAATTGGGGCTATATAGATTTTGTGGGTTAAACCCAACACATTAAATTATTGTTGTTGGGTCAACCCGGTTGGGTAACCCAAGTTGCCATCACTATGGAGAAGGAGAGATGCTACAATGTAAACAAGGCAAAGAACAGAGAAAAACAAAATGCTGCATTTACACTCAGCTCAGAACCAGAGAGCCTCAATCAAAACAATACTTTTAAAAACCGAAATTTCAGACAATTCATAAACAATGCCTCTAATCCGAAATGGGGTTCAGAAGATCTTTTACTCATAATCGAACTGCACCTCGACGTGAATGTATTTCCTCATGAGTTGAACAATGGACCATGTGAAAGTTGCCAGCATCTGGCAATCCTCCGGGGTTTTGGTTTCCGAGACAACCCCGTGAATGACCAACTTCTTGAGATTCGGACATCTTCTCAAAAGCTCCTCGACCCAGATCGAGAAAACATCGTTCATCACAGTCCAGCTGAGCTCCAACACTGTCACATTCTCCAGGGGAAATTACAAAAATGACTTTAAATGTCATTTTTACTTCATGACATGACCTCCCTTCTTTTTTTTTAAAAACCAACATCATTTCATAACCTCATAATTGTATCTTTCCAAAAATACCCTTCCTTTTTTATTTAATATTTTCATTTAAAAAAAATATTTCAACCTATCTCTCCTCTTCCAGCTCTCTCTCTCTCCATCCGCATATGTCGAACAAACTACATTCTCTTCTCGCCCATTCTCTGATCTTCAAGTTCTCTTCATTTCCAATCTATTTTTCAACTAATTTGTTGTGAAAAAACAATATTAAGTTTGGGCATTTCATCGATTACACACAAATCTTAATAATAGGTAAATATTGTTTCAAAATTTCGTTAATAAATTTGGATTTGTGATTTGTTGTTTTGTTATCCTTATATTTAATCTAGATGATACAGATGAAGCAAATATGATATATGCGTCAACAATACCATGATTCACGTTATTCTAACTGGTCGAAATCGTTAAATACGTGAAATTCGTTAAAATGGAAAAATTCGGAAAACTGGTCATACATACGTGTCAGAATGGTCAAACTGGTCGTATTTCTAACTGGTCATACTTTTCAAATTGGTTAAACTGGTTATACTCGCAAAATTGGCAACGTTGATCATAATCATCAAAGTGGTCAAACTGATCATACTCATTAAATTTATGATATGATATGATTATTACTATGTTAGCATTTTTAAAACGATGGATTATGCGATTTCGAACAGGTCTGACTGTTTGACCAATGTATGACCGTCTGACCGTATGACCATTTGAGTACGAAAAAAAAGGTCTAAATTAAACTTAAATTATTTAAAAAGTTGTATAGGGGTTATAAAAATACTACTGCATCGTTTTTGAGTTCTAATTTCACATGAAAAAAAAAAATCTTCCAACATAAGTCAATTGTATCCAATGTGTTACACAAACACTCTAGTACTTTAGGTCTTCTTTGGAAAGAGTTATATTGACATGCAAAAAAGGTGTTCAGTCCGTATTGCTATGACCAATTTCAACTTGAGAAATTTAGCATACGATATGATTATTACAATGTTAACACTTTTAAGACGATGAATCGTACAATTTTGAACAGGTCTGACCGTCTGACCAATGTATGACCGTATGACCGTCTGACCATTTGGGTATGAAAAAGAAAGTTCTAAATTAAATCTAAACGATTCGAAAAGTTGTGTAGGGGTTATAAGATTACTTTAGCATCGTTTTGGAGTTCTAATTTCACGTAGAAAAAAAAATCTCTCGACATAAGTCAATTGTACTCAATGTGTTACATAAACACTACTATTACTTTAGGTCTTCTTTGGAAAGAGTTACATTGACAAACAAAAAATGTACTCAATCCATATTGCTACGACCGATTTGAACTCGAAATATTTGTGATATGATATGATTATTACAATGTTAACACTTTTAAAACGATGAATTATGCAATTTCGAACAAGTCTGACCGTCTGACCAAGGTATGACCGTATGACCGTCTGACCGTATGACCATTTGAGTACGAAAAAAAATACCTAAATTAAATCTAAACGATTCGAAAAGTTGTGTAGGGGTTATAAGATTACTTTTGCATCGTTTTGGAGTTCTAATTTCACGTAGAAAAAAAAATCTCTCGACATAAGTCAATTGTACTCAATGTGTTATATAAACACTACTATTACTTTAGGTCTATGTGGAATGAGTTGTTGATGACATTGTTGTTCTTCGCACCATAAGCAAAATCAGATCGGTTTGACCGATGTGCCATTTCGATAGCCAAAATTTCTCTGAGGATTTTTATCAAACACTTTCCATGCATTCTCAAATTCTTCAACTTTGGTGTGTCGGATCTCGTTCTAGAGGAAAAGTTTGACGAGTGTAAGCTTAAATGATATTGTTCCTTCGAATCGAATCGAAGCGAAACCCTAATAAGCCAAAATTCAATATAAGAAGAACATGTTTGATCTACACTTTTAAATTCGTAAATTCATCATTTTTGAAAAAGTATGACTAGTCTGGCTCGTATAATCATATGACCAGTCTAATGATATGATCAAAATATGATCGTTATGACCAAAGTTTGACCGTATGACCAAAGTCTGATCGTCTCACCAAAGTCTAACCGTTTGACCGATTTTAAATTTAAAAAACGTGTTGTATGAGATTATTAGTATACCAATTAACACTTTTAAAATTATAAATTCATCAATTTTCAAGAAGTCTGACCGTCTGACCAAATTCTGACTGTATGACCAATGTCTGACCGTCTTATCAAAGTGTGACCGGTATGACCATTTTTACACGAAAAATAAAGGTCTAAATTAAGTTTAAACGATTCAAAAAGTTGTATAAGGGTTACAAGAATACATTTCATCGTTTTGGTGATCTAATTCTAATATAAAAAAAAATCTATTAACATAAGTCATATTTACTCAAAGTGTGACCGGCTAACCAAATTGTGAACGTCTGACCAAAATCTGATCGGTATGACTAAAGTCTGACCGATATGACATGTATGACGTTTTAAGAGCCAAAATTTCTCTGAGGATTTTTATCGAACACTTTCCATGCATTCTCAAATTCTTCAATTTTGGAATGTGAGATCTCGTCATAGTAGAGAAATATGTCGAGTGTAAGACGAAAATTGAGAAATTTGTTGTTAGAATCGCCAACGACATCTCTTTGGAGAGAAAAAGAAAAAAAATACGTTTTGAATTTTAAAAAAAAAAGTGAGAGAATAAATTTTTCGAATGTTTTTTTCACGAATTGTCACGTGTTCAATTTTTTAAGGGTAAACTAGTCTTTTCGTTATTTAAGTTTTTTTTTTTAAAACCCTAAACCTAGAAGGTTATGCCTTGAAGTAAAGATAGACATTTGGGGTTATTTTTGCAATTTTGCCCATTCTCCAACTGGGTTGTGCCGCCTTGCCAGCTGTAATGAGCAACTCCATCTTTCAGATCATAACTTAAGGAAAGATGGGTTAGCTGTGGAAAACTAACGGCTATTGATTCAAGATCCACAATATCATCATCATCAGCATCATCATCTTCATTATCATCATCATCATCATGACAATCGAAGACAACATCCCATAGTCGGAGTTTCCTCAGCTTCTGTGATCTTGAGATCATCTGGTAGAACTTTGGCCAGACGATTGTGAAGTGATTCACATCAACAATCTCGAGGTTTTCAGCAGTCTCTACTATATCAAGATGTATGACACTAACATCATCAAGCTTGAAATGCTTTAATGTCCCCTTTCCTATAAGCTCAAAAAGCTCGAGGACGCAATCCTTCATGTGCAAACACTCGATACTGTCAGCTTCCAGGATGAATTTATCCAAGCTAATGGCTTCAATGTAAATACTCTTTACCGTCGGGCTGGTCAGTTCAATCGTCACCTGTGCATCTGACATCGCAATCTCAGGGCTGACAAGTTCCAAAGCCTCGATCTTCGGGCAAGCGCTGAGCAAAAGGTTTAGATCCAGTGCAGAAATACTGACATAACTCAGTGAAAGGGATTTCAAGCAAGGGAATCTCTGGAAGTTTGGTTCCACCCCGGTAATTGAATTATGGGCGAGAAGTAAAGTTTCTAACTTTTGCCGCCCACAGATGTCGAGAATATTGACATTTGGGGTAGTCCGAACATTATATGACAACCTCCGCAAGGTCTCCCTTGTATACATGAGCCAAGCAATGACAGTGGAGGCAGAAAACTTGTTGGCATCATCCATCATAATCGATAGGCCTTGCAATCCAGTGGTCTGGAAGATTGTTTGAGTTATGAGGATTTCCAGGCGATTGGTAGTGAGGTCCCGATAAAATGGCCAATCGCTGGAATTGAACGAAAGTGTATGAAGGTGCTTCCGACACGCTTCCAGCCACTTCCTGCATGTTGCAGAAGCTATCACAACATCCCGAGCTCCCCCGAGCCGTGACAATATGTTTCCAACAACTTCTACAGGAAGATTTTCCATAATCCGAAAGGAGAAAAACTTTGAAAGCAGACACTAAATGCTTTGGATGAAACTCTTATTGCAGGATTCTTTGGCCTAAAATCAGGAATTGCAGTCCTCTTCAGCTGCTTAGCCTATGCAGAAAAGCACAAAATAAAAAGGAAAACACATCAAACTGTTAACAAAAGATCAGTTATCTTAAGAATATCGTAAAAGATTTCATTCTAATGAATACTAACACGATCTGCAAAATAATCAGGCGTCAGCTTCGACCCAAAGACAAAGAAGCATAAAAAGTATATTCAACTACAGCTTGAATCACTTCAAAACTCTAATAATGTCAAACACAAACAAACACAACAGAGGGTTCCCTGTCATTGTTAATTGAAGCATCAGAAGATTAAGTGCTTTAATCAATCAACCAAAGATCCAGCATAAGAACCGGATTGGTAAACAGCCTTGAAAAGAACTAAAAACACGACATTCATGCAAGCTGAAGAAACAGAAAGCCAGCACTTTGACGCAACATGAAAAGCCAATTAAGGTTCAAATCCAAAGCATTCCGAACAAAATCTTAAGTTCAAACGCAGGAACAGACGTGATTGCTTTGTCCGTAAAGGATCATGTCCGAGAAACAAAGCTCAATCAGCGATCGCAGAAAGCCTCTGAATATCAATAATTCTATTAAAAATATGTACAAGAATGCGAATTCCAGGCACCAAAATAACCGATCAAAATAACAGAGATCCTAGGTAGTAGGAAGAAACTGATCAAAGAAGCAAATTCAAGCATCTGGGTATCGATAAACCAATCAAAGACCAAAAATGAAGTCTTCTATACACCGATATATTGTAAAAATTATTCCAATAGAAGCAATTCAAGATTCAGAATCCGAAATCCGAGTGCCTCAGAAAATTTGTGAAACCGAGCAGACGAATCGAACCGTGCAACGAAAACCCTAGTCAAAACCTAAATGGAAGGCGATCGGGATAGTGAGAGATAGATTTGGAAGAACAGATCATAAGATCTTACGAGGATTTGCGTGTCATCTTCAGCGTTGAGGAATCGAGTTGACGAGCATTGATCTGTGAAACGAAAAAAGGAATGGGGGCTACAGAGATAGGGGAAACGACCGTAGCGGTGCAAGTGCTCAGGGGTTAGTTTGTAAGAGGCGGAGAAATATGGGGTCTACTTATAATAATGAAAACTATTTTGGGGGTTCTGTAGGAAGAATAGGAGATTAAAAAGATAATTTTATATTTAAAAAATTCAGCATCGAAAATAATATATAAAAAATAATTTGAAATACTGTCCAAAATAAAATTATTTTTTACGTATTTCTTTCTTGTTAATAAAATTAGGAGTTTAATGAAAAACTCTTACATACATCTGGGGTGTATTTTGAAAATTTGAAATTTCCCTTTTCTACAGTAGAAAAAAACCCAAAACGATGCGTTTTCAGGTAACCTCTCATAAACCTCTATCAAGTGTCAACCCTCTTCTTTGCATTTTGCTCGTTCTCTGAATCAGAAGCCGGGAAGCCGAAGAAGCGAGCAAAATCCATGGCTCCGTTTCTGGTTCATCTGACAATCCCACTGATATTGATGTTCTGGTTCCGATCCGGGTCTTCTTCTCCGTCGGATCACCGGTACAATGTCGGCGATCACGTCCCTTTGTTCGTCAACAAAGTAGGACCTTTCCATAATCCAAGGTAATTTAAAAATCCTATGTTTCCTTAGGTGTGTTCCTGGTGAAAACGATAGAGGATCTAAATTCCTTGCTCATTGAACTCTCCGGAGGATTTCCTCTGTGTTTGGCAGATTATAAGGTAGAGCTGCTTCATGTTTTGATCGGATTTTGTTTGGGATAGGGATATGAATGGAGAAAGATTGTCGGAAAATATAAATGCGAGATATGGTTTGGAGAGAGAAAATTTCAGAATGTCCAGCAACAAGGGACCCGGAGATATTGTAGATTGATTAGACGAACGTCGAAGCAATTTATATAATTTTGTTTTATTGGTGTTTGGTTTTCAGATTCAGATTCAACCATGAGATTCTTGACCCATTTTCCTATTTTAATCGGATAGTTTTTCACCAGTTTCGGACTTGGCCTTTTTTTTTTTTTGCAGTGAGACGTATCAATACTATGACTTGCCATTCTGCCATCCAGGTTAGGATTCCCGGGGACAAAACTCGATTATCAGGTCCAAATTTTAGTTCTATTTTTAGACATTAGGCTGCAGAAAGTTTATGTTTTTAAGTTTCTGTGACCTCATGGATGGAGATTCTTACCTATTCTTGTAATCTTCGGCAATATATGTTGGTTACCCTGGTCGGTTATAACTTATAAAGGTTGATTCAAGATCGTTCTATGTTCTGCAGAGCCTGTGATTTTGAAGCAGGAAACGCTTGGGGAAGTTCTGAATGGTGATCGGTTGACGAGTTCACTATATGAGCTGAAATTCCGGGAGGAGAAATCTGGTGCTGCCTTGTGCAGCAAGAGATTTGCACCGAATGAAGTTGCTAAGTTGAGAGATGCTATTGCACAAGATTTCTACTTTCAGATGTATTATGATGATCTTCCCTTATGGGGATTTCTCGGAAAAGTTGAAGGAGATTACTTGGGCCGTGGAGAGAAGAAGCATGATAAGTATTATCTGTTTAAACACTTGCAGTTCAATGTTTTGTATGACAGAGACAGAGTTATTGCAATAAGATCTTTCAGTGACCCAAAATTTGTGGTGGACATATCGGAGGACTTGGAAAGTAATGTTGAATTCACCTACTCCGTTTTCTGGAACTCAACCTCAGAATTGTTTGAGACAAGGATGGACAAGTTCTCTCAGGCTGCATTTCTTCCAATCAGCCAGAAGATTCACTGGTTGTCATTTCTAAACTCGATCAGTGTTCTAGTTCTGTTGATTGGACTGCTTTCTTTGCTCTTCATACGGCATCTCAAGAATGATATAAGAAGGTAATAATTTTTTTTGTTATTTCTGTTAAATTAGTCTCATCTGGTCTGTGTAGTTTTACAAGTGTTATGACAAAAAAAATTATCAATGGGCTCACTTCTTTTCAATGAATTTTAGATCCTCGAGTGGAGACGAAGAAGAAAATAAGGATGTCGGGTGGAAGCTCATTCAAAGCAATGTATTCAGATGTCCTCGAAATATGTCCTTGCTGTGTGCAATCTTGGGAACCGGGACACAGTTACTGATCTTGTAAGCATCATAGCAATGTATTCGTTATTACTCTGCTTTCATCTCCGTGCTATCCTCTCCAACATGCCCCTGACTGATTTCACAGCTTTTCTTCAAGAAAACATAACAAGCTAAATGTGGAGTTATATGAGGCAAAATATTGCAATTATAGTATTTTACTGCAACTAGTTCCAATATCAATACGTTCTTCTTAGTGATATTTGAGCTATACGTTCTGGATATACACAGGATGTGGAAGTCGATTAATGATATGATTCCACAAACTGTTTTAACTTAGCCCGATTTCCCTACTTGTTTTCAGGGTCTGCATTTTATTTGCACTAGCTTTTCTTGGTTTCTTGTGCCCCTATAATCGTGGAGCGACATTCACTTCTCTTGTCATCGGATACACTTTAACATCAGTTATCTCTGGTTACACTGCCTCTTCATTCCATTGTCAATTCATGGAAAATGGATGGGTAATTTTTCTGAGAATTATTCCGCATTCCCCTTTTCTCTTATCGGGTTTGCTTTCTGTTAAAAATTTACATGTTATATGATTTCTTCGGGGGACTAAAACAAAGGATTTTACTTTTCAGGAAAAAAGTGTCCGTCTTGCTGGGATGCTGTACACTGTTCCTCTACTCGTTACGGGTTCAATTCTCAACACTGTTGCCATAACTTATGGGGCAACATCTGCACTTCCCTATGGCACAATAATACTCATCGTCTCCATTTCTACTCTCGTGAACATCCCATTTCTCATGTTGGGAGGGGTTTTAGGGCACCGTTTCAGATCGGAGTTTCAACCTCCCTCAGCTGTGAAACGACAACCTCGAGAAATTCCGTTGCAGAATTGGTACCGGAGAAAGCCATACCAAATGTTCCTTGGAGGCCTTGTTCCTTTCAGTGCAGCTGTGCTCGAACTGCACCAGTTCTATGGGAGCTTGTGGGGCTTCAAAATATACACCAGCCCCGGAATTTTGTTTCTGACATTGGTCATACTCATCTTGGTGACTGCAAGTGTTAGCATCATCTTGACATACATCCAGCTCTCTGGTGAGGATCATGAATGGTGGTGGAGGTATGTATTCTTCAAACTTTCATGTTTTCAGCCTGAATTTTCCATGCATCCCATTAAACCCAAGTTTATTTTCAAGAAAAAATGTATACCCATGACATTTTTAGGGCAGAAGCTATGAAGAGCTCAAAGCAACTTGCTCTGTGCTTTTATCTGATCCGTATCGAGTTTCTGCAACATAATATTTAGGTCCATATGGAGTTCGAATTCCCAAATAAAACCCTACAGATGTCATGTTTGGATTTTCTTTTTCCGCAAGACTAGCATTGATGCTACTACTTTTAATATGCAGATCTGTGTTGTGTGGCGGATGCTTTGGCGTATTCATGTTCGGTTATGGAGTCATCTTCTATCTAAGGTCCAACATGAAAGGATTTCTGCAGACGAGCTTCTACTTGGGTTTTAATGCTCTGTTCTGCTATGCCTTCTTCTTGATTCTTGGAACCCTAAGTTTCTTCGCCTCTTGGACGTTTGTTCGCCGCATTTACCGTTCTGTCAAGAGTGAATAAGACTGCGGTTTGAATCTCATTGGATGGCAAGGGAAAGAAACAGATAAAGAGGGAAAGAACCACACTTTTCACGATGAAGTTATGGGATCTGAAGATGAACAGAACAGGCGAGAGGTACAACAATGAGTCTAGGACGTGGTCTGGTCCTTTCTGTTGCCAAGATTGGAATCTTCTTTTGCATCAGCTTCCTTAGGACAGTAACATACTCCCACAGGAACTGGTAAATTTCCAGAAATGAGGGCTCGTGTCTCTATTTCTAAAGAAGTTTTTCATCTCAAATTTTGCTGAAAAAGATGGTTTAAACGGAGAAATGAGTAGGGGTATACTCCGAACGGGTACGGAGTTTGTACCCAGATCTTTGGGTAACCGTATATCGGCTTGTCTTAATGAGTTTTCTGGAGACTATCTCAATCTTACGATTGAAGCCAGGTATCCAAAACCGTCGAAATTTCAGAAATTTTGTTAACTCTAGGAAGAAAGGTCTAGTTATTGTTGTAAATATATTAAAATGGTAGGGATATAATCGTAATACACGAACTGGTCGGAGTTCTTAGCCATGTCACACCCGTTATCGGCTTCATTAGTGCTCGGATATTAACATTCCAGGCACCGCCTGAGTTCGACCTTCAAGTTGGGGAGGAAACGTATAATTCAAATCACATGGTTGACTCTCGACCCCGAGATTAGTCTGAGCTCGATTATAAAAAAAAACTTTCCAGGTACCCGCGAAATCAGGTATTCAAAAATCAGAAGGTCTCGAGCACCCGCACACAGCCCTAGGTCGTAGGTGCGACAGCACTGCTAAACACGAGTTCGGGTCGAACGACGATGAAAACCCAAACCTCGTGTTCGAGCTCTCGAGAATCGAGCCGAGGCACGGGTTTTCTGGGAGGGGAGGACATCGGAACGACGGGTGGTCTTAGGTATAGTTTTTTTCAGCCGGGCCAGGTCACACACATGGGTTGGGTTAGGATTTCATTTCTCCTGTCGTTGCCTTGATGAATTCATGACACAAAAAAACAAACAAATCTATCAAATTAAAAAATACAATACAATATGCAAAGGAAGTTCAGTCTGATAGTTACCCTTCCAGAGAAGTAGATTGCATCTGGGAAGCAAGTTGCACCCACAAAGAACAATGCAAAGAACACAAAAATCCACCATTTATCACCTCGAAAAACACTCTCTCCGAGCAACGTCGACCGCACACACTGCAAACGGGTCGGGTGCTGCTATTGTTACAAACAACTTTCACCTCGCCACCGTACAGATTAAGACAGTGACCAGCCTTCATGTAAACAGACTGCCCAAATACGCATAGAACGTGGACAGTGACCATGCATTTATCGCATCCGTAAAACCATTCCCCTTGATTTAATTTCCTCTCGCAAACCTCACACCAACTCGAGCTTGCCGCTTCTTCTTCTTCTTCTTCTTCTTCTTCTTCACCGCAACAGAGTAAGAGTGGATGCTTGTCATACTTGTAACGTACCTCAGTTGGTATAGTAGTGCACTCAAAACACAAAATAAAGTCGCATTCGTCGATACACTTGAGATAACTTTCTAAATGTTGTTTGCCGCAAGACCCGCATGATCTATCGGGGGACCAACCAAGACAGATGAATAGGGGATGTCGATGGCATTCATGGACAACTGAATCCAGAACTGAAGCACATCTCACATCTACCTGAAACCCATCACGGCAATTCTTGTCGGCGCACTTGTACATGAAGCCAGAAGTTATTCGCCCACAAGTTGAACACGACATAGAATGACTGTCATGCCGAGGAAGCGGATCTAGGATCAACGGATGATTGTGCAAGGTCTGCTCTTTCTTTCGAGGAAGACCAGCACATGCTGTGTGGAGAAAGAAACCACACTGTATACAGCTGTAGAAATTATCAGAATCAGTAGGGAGAACGCAAGCTTGGCATTGCTTGTGCCCATCAAGAACATTACTGTCCTCCTCGATGAGCCGTAAAGAGTGTTCATGGGAAAAATGTAGTATTTCCCCGTCACCTATCTCCTCGAATGGCTTGATATCATCGGTTTCACTAGTTTCCTCGGTTTCCCATTCAAGTTCTCTTCCATCCCAAATCTCTTTACGCGTTGCACATTTCGAATGGAGGAAGTAGTGGCAGCCCTCTATACAAGAATACGCCCCGTGTTTTGCATCCACCTTTCGGTAACAGATTTGACACCACATATTCTCATGGGGAAAGCAAGGAGTGTGGGAGAGACGACAGGGGTGACGAGTGAGCTTAATGACCCGTGGTAAGTTGAGGCAGCTCTGATGGACAAAGTAGTTACAGGGGAGACAAACATAAGCCGGATCCTTCACATCAGTTACCCCACAAGCATCACAAGGCACTGAAAGTGGTCTAGGCAACAAGGTGAGGGCATGGCCATGGCTTTTAGGGCTTGTGATGGTAACAAACGGATATTTCCACGCACAACGGGAATCCAAGCTGAAGGTACAAACAGAGCAGCGATAAAAGAACGATCCGAGATCTTGTCCACACCAGTCGCATTTATCGCCGTCGGTGACTAGGGTTTCAGATCTTAGGCGTGTGGAAGTGAGGGGATGCTGGATGTGGAAAGGGTGCCTTAACTTGCGCGGCGACCGGTGACACCATTCATGAAACTGGAGATCGCAGGACTCGCAATAGAGATGATAGTCGCAGGAAACGTAGGAATCTGACTTTCCACAGGTGGAGCAGCCATAGGGAGGAAGGAAAGTGCCTAATCGAATGCGTAATTTGTGAGGATCGCAAGGATCTGATAACCGGCATGAGGAGGTCATCTCTTCGGGAAGACTGTACGATCCGAACAGCTTCAATGAAGAATTCATCGTCAACACTTGACTGGTTTCGATGGCGTTTCTTCTTCTTCTTCTTCTCCAGTTTTGAAAGAAACCGTTTCTCCTTTAAAAATTCGAACAAAGGGTGATCGATTGGTTTCTACATTTGACTTTCAGTGGATGCCCACGTCCGCCTTATTAATACAGCTCCAGCCAAGACCTTATATAATATTATTGGCGTTCCTTCGCATTTATTATAATGATGCAATTTTATATTTAAAAAAATGAGAAAGAGTAGTTTATAATATAATATAATATAATCTTCAAATTTATGAGAAAGTTATATAGTAACTAATAGAAATACGATTGGGCATCGAAGACCGATTTATTAGAAATGTTAAATCAATTAATTTCAGCAACCGTATATATATATATATATATATATATATATATATATATATATGTGTGTGTGTGTGTGTGTGTGTTATCAAGCTCTTTTGAAAAGCATAACGATTGTAAGTTAGGAGAAATTATTAAAATAGCATGTAAAAAATATAGAAACTATCATATCATTTACAATTGATCAAAACTATTACTTTATTATATGACAAAAAAATGACTTCTATTTTCTAATAATAAACCTAAAATACTATAAATGAATCTTCAACAGAATGATAAAAAAATATATTTTTTTTACATGAAAGTTCTTATAGAAATCAATTACTGTTTTAATCGATAGTTTTTCAACAAGTATTAAAAAATATAATATTTTAAATCATTCTATAATAACTCATAACAAAACACATTCCTTTTATATTATTGGAAAATATTTTATTTTTTTGGATAGAATTATAATAAAATATTTTCTATGATTGTATTTTTTTAAGTTGCAGATGCAGTACTACGAGGTGATAAATTTACTCGCTGAAAAAAAAAAAGCACTAATATTAATATAGGGTGAAAAAGTAAACATAAATGGGCTTTTAAATCACGGGCTTTAGGGTGAAGCCCAAATAATTGACGAAGGCCCATATGACTAAATTCCTCTAGGGTTTACTCTCTGGGCTTCATGTTCCATTTCCTCACTATAAAATCTTCATCCGCCTCCGTTAAAACTAGGGTTTCTGCAGCTTCATCTCTCAGGTGCGTTTCTCTCTCGCTCGCTCGCTCGCTCCCCGCTTCTTATCTACTCAGTCAGTGTTCATCGTTACCTGGGTACTCTGCAGTTTCATGAACTGTTTCTGTAGTTGGTTGGTTTTCTGTTTGTTTCCCGAGAAACAGAGGGAAAACTAAGAAGATGATGGCTTTTTGACTTAAATCACCGAACATGAGTCTCCTTTGGATATTTCCACTGAATCTTTTCTTCTGGGTGTCTTTTGGTTTTCGATTTCAGGATCGGGATTCGCTTGATTGAGAGATACTCAAGATGAGGTACCTGCAATGTCTCTTTCCCGGTGGTAGTAGTGAAGCAGATACTTTGATGATTTCAGTTGACGGGTCTGCTGGACTAGGGAGTGGAGAACTGGGAAGTGAAGATGCTGTAAATATGGTTGGGCAGGCGAAAGATTGGCAGGAAAATGATCATGGTGTTGTTAGTGGAATAGAAAGACCAGAATGTGAAGCTGAATCTGAGTGTGAATGTTTAGTATCATCAGATGCGGTTGTACAAATGTGTATCTAGTTGTATCTGCTCTCGAAATGTAAGTTTGTTTTTTTTTCATTAATGTGTTGTTTTTGTAGCTTGTAGTTTTTGGCTGTTCGATAGATTGAATGTTCCAATTACTCTGATTATGTGTCTGTGATCTTGTCTGGCATCGTTGATGTTGCTTACGCCTAAATGCAACATGTGTTCTTTAGAGGGTATTCAAACCTGAATAGCAGATTTGCATCTTGTTTCTGAGAGTTTAGTTTTCAATTTCAATTGTCTTGCAATTTAGTTACTGCAATCCATGAAGAGGTAGGTTGTATCGATCACGTTCAGATAGATTCATACTTGTTGCTGCTTCTTGTATGGAAATCCGTATAAGTGTTGTGTTTTTGCTCCTTTCCTTGATTAGTTATGTGTGATTGGGTTCTTTGTTACAGTAAGCTTCAGAGTGAGGCCCTTAGAGAAGCCATCTCGACCATTAAGGCGAAATGCGAGGAAAAGAAACGTAACTTTGTGGAGACAATCGAGCTTCAGATTGGCCTGAAGAACTATGACCCGCAAAAGGACAAGCGTTTCAGTGGCTCTGTCAAGCTTCCTCACATCCCCAGACCTAAAATGAAGATCTGCATGCTTGGAGATGCCCAGCACGTAGAAGAGGTGATTGATCTCTCTCTATTTTTCTAGTATTCTCATTCACAATTTGTTATTGTGTCCATTAATGTCTATAAATATGGCTCCAGAGCACATTTGCTTGGGTTAATAATTTAACTTCTCATTAAAGATTTCCATTTCTTTTCCAGGCTGAGAAGATGGGTCTGGACTACATGGACGTCGAGGCCTTGAAGAAACTCAACAAGAACAAGAAGCTCGTCAAGAAGCTTGCAAAGAAATACCATGCTTTCTTGGCCTCTGAATCTGTCATTAAGCAGATTCCCCGTCTTCTTGGACCTGGTCTCAACAAGGCAGGCAAGTTGTCTCGATCCATTATTCTATATTCGGCTAGCTTCCCTCTGAACAAACATTTTATACACACAGTTAGCAATGTCAATTCCTTTCACATCTTACAGTAGCTTTGCTTTGGAAGCACATGTAGATTTCTTTATACCGAACAGTTATCATGGTTTTGGAAGCTGTTTGTCATCATGGGATTTTTCCTTTGTTGTGGTTGTACAGGAAAGTTTCCAACTCTGGTGTCCCACCAAGAATCGTTGGAATCAAAGGTGAACGAGACCAAAGCTACGGTCAAGTTCCAGCTGAAGAAGGTTCTCTGCATGGGTGTTGCGGTTGGGAACCTCTCCATGGAAGAGAAGCAGATCTTCCAGAACGTTCAGATGAGCGTAAACTTCCTCGTCTCCCTCCTCAAGAAGAACTGGCAAAATGTCCGTTTCGATCCTTCGTCTCTCCATCATCTTCATCATCTTCTTGTTTCTGAATCTTGTTTCCTTTCGAAACCATGCAGGTTAGGTGTTTGTACCTCAAGAGCACCATGGGACCGGTTCAACGAATCTTCTGAGCTTTCTTCGTTTCCCTCCGAGGGCGGAATCTGTAGGGTCTAAGCTGCTTTTGTTTGGTTTTTTTTGTTGTTTCTGATATCGTTTTTTGAAACAGTAAAATGATGTCTTTGCTATGTGTTTCTGAAGTTTTGTTGAATCTTGAAGCAGTGCCATTGAACTTCTATGAAGCTTTTTGGGACAAATTGTTTTTAATGTTTTGCTTTTGCTGCTGAAAGTTTTGGCTATGCTTATGGAGTCTACACATGCTTGTTAGATTAATTAAGGGAAACTTTATAAAAGTACATGGAGTTGTAAACAAAATAAAGTAAATAGATGAGTTTTATATTGTATTGCTATATCAGTAATTTAAAATTGTATTTAAATTTACAAGATTTTAAAATATAATTGGATAAAGATATTATGTAATTCTTATTGATTTTTGAAACGCAATGATGATTAGAAGTTTAAGAAATTTGTATATTTTTCGGCTATCATATTTTGTATTTATAACAATATACAATAAAAATCTCATGAAAATTCGATATATATATTTTTTACGGCTATCATATATGGTAAATCATAGTTTTTTTTATAAGGAAAAAATAATTTTCAAAACAGACTAAAGTATTAATATAATATATTATACATTATAATCCAAATTTTCAGGTGCATCATATCTCCTAATTTCATTTGGAATCAACACGAGGGCATTGATTTTTTTTTTCACGATGCATATATGTATTTTTTGTACACACCAATGAATATTGAAAATTCAGGAGAACAAATTTATTTCAAATATTTACCCAAAAAAAATTATTTCAAATAATTTGCATGGTCAGTGGATTTGTGTGGATATGTTCTAATAGACGTTGTTTAATTACAACGCTAATCTCCTATACTTTAAGCTTTATTCTCACTAATCTTCCAAAGGGCAGACTATTTTAAATTTTACTCAAAAAACCTTTAAAGATAAGTTTCCCTTTTATGTATCAACATATTTACAAAGTTACAATAAAGATAACCTTTTTTTTTAATTGAACAGGATAATAGTGGAATATGAATGTCTGTATTGTGATTTAAAAAATAGAAATCATATGTTTTTGTCTATTACCAAAAATTATATTCCAGACTTGTTTCCATTTAATTTAGATTTTTTATTTATAAAATTTTATTCGCAATAAATTTTAGATCTGAAGTTGGGAGTCCAAGTTACTTTAAACTTTTTTCTTCTTTTTGTTTTTCAATGGAAAATCTCATACATACACGTAATTTATAAAAAAAATACCAAATAATAATATAAATATAAAATTTTCACAACAGTAACGATTTTTTTTTTAAGTTTTACATTAGACCTGAAATTTTAAATGACTTTCTAAAACGACATGTCATGTTTTTTTTTAAATCGTTTAAAATTTTTAAAAATGTAAGAGTTTAATATAGATTTTGTATTTATTTGAGAATTTTAAAGTTTATGCATTTATCTAATAATATTTGACCGTATTAATGTGTATTAATACAGGATTTTTCCTTCGTTTCTCTGAAAAAGTTTTTTTTATTCTATTTTTATCATTTTAATTTATTTATTTTTCTTCAGCCATCAGAGGTTATTAGCCAAATTTTGGGCCGTCACGGCCTCTCAAAAGCCATTCCCTTTCCTCTCTCCCATTTTATATTTCCTCTTTGAACGTCTCTCGCTCTCTTGTACTCTCCGCCACTCTCTCTCTCCCCTAGCTGTGGTAAGTGGTTTTTCCCTTTGTGTTTGATCTGATGTGTTTGTGATTGTTTTGATTTCTAAAATTTCGCTTGGATTCACAGGACGAGGTTGATATTTGTAGTCTTGTGATCATTGGGGGGGGGGTATTTGTTTTGCGGTTGGATTTGTTTTTGGGATTTTGTTGATTTTGATCTGTCGTGTGATGTTTCGAGATGTGTTCTTACTGTTCGCTTCCATCGAGTTGTTTGTGGGGACAAAATCTTGCTGGCTCGATATCTGCCGATCTTCATTTCTCAAATTTTTCCGTCTATCGCTGTCTGAAAGCGACTGGTTTTTGTCCATTGGAGCAATTAAATCCTACCACGGCAGATCATTTATTTATTTATTTGATATGTTCTGATGGAGGGCTGAGTAATCTTCGTGATTAGCATTAAGGGATGAAAAATGAGAAGGTTGCTAATCACTAGTTTACTGATAATTCCATGGTTGTTTAGGTACCAGATGCTGTTACTATATCCATATCCCTGTTCCAACTTCGATCCTAGGTTGCCTTTTTGTATCATGTGGTGCTGGAAGTAAACGTGATTCTTTGTTCTTATGGAGTTTGGATTTCGTCTGGTCTGATGTTATAGCTTGTTTAGTGAATTAGTGTGTGAAAAGGGTTCATAAACCGTAGAAATCTCTCGTAACCCCGTTGTCCCTCAGATCTTGATGAACATATTCCTTCGTGATTTGAAGTTCTTTTGATGCTTTCCCACAAACCTTACAAACCCGAAACAAAAGTTCTGTAGTTTATCTTTGTATGGCAAAGGAGCTAAGTTGCATAGAATCGGTTAGTCTAGGTAATTCCCGAGTGGCTGCTGTTTAGTTGAGAAACCGGGTAGGGTTCGGTTCTGTAGACATTGTATGGTCTTGTTTGGAGCATCGAGTGAAGAGCGGAACAGCCTAGCGCTTGCATCTTCTCATAGCGCTCCGTATATAAAATATCGTGTCATTCTGCACCAAAGGAACAGATTCATCTTCCATTCTGCTTTCCAGTGGTAGGCAGAGTGATGAACACAATGTGTAACTTGTAAAATTTGGTCCTAATTCTTTCAGGAACATGTTTTTTTTTGTGGTTAACATCTACCCTTGTTTTAGAAGTTACCCGTCTTGCTAATGTGAACTTTATATATATGTATATACCATTTGGGATTAAGACGATGTTGATGTATACTATTTGGAATGCAGGTGAAAAATGGCGACTGTGACAGTTTCCTCCCTGTCCATGCCCAAGGCTGTTCTCAGAAATCAGGCCGCGAACCCCATTGCCAGCAGGAGGAGCTACACACTCTCTCTCGGATCCACCAAGAAAATTTCCCGATCCTTTGGCCTGAAATGCTCGGTAAACTCCGGCCCGACCATGTCAGCCGCCTTCAAGGTCAAGCTGATTGGACCCGAGGGGCAGGAGACCGAGTTCGAAGTCCTCGAGGATCAGTACATCCTGGACGCGGCCGAGGAGGCAGGGGTCGAGCTGCCCTACTCTTGCCGGGCCGGCGCTTGTTCCACCTGTGCCGGGAAGATCGAGTCTGGCGCTGTCGACCAGTCCGACGGCTCGTTTCTCGACGACGATCTCATCGGAAAAGGTTACGTCCTTACCTGCGTTTCGTATCCTCAGTCCGACTGTGTGATCCATACCCACAAGGAATCTGAACTCTTCTAGGTTTCGCCTCATTCGGGTTGTAGCCACTTCAGATCATTAATCTTGATCGGTTTCTTTAAAAAAAAAAACTTGTTTGGTGTTAAGAGTTATGTTCTTGTTCCGGTGCGGTCCGGGACCGGTTAATAAAACGGCTCGTGAATGGAATTTTTTTTTTTTTACGTACGCCAATTAATTTATATAATGGATTTCCGTGATAAAATTTTATTACAAAAACAATGAAATCTATAACCTTATTCAATAGGAAGAAGTATAAAATATAGAAAATATCAGTAAATTACCACCGTTTTATTGTTTTAAAGGATCACAAATTTATTTGCATGCCACGTAGGAATAAACCCTAGATGAAATGAGGCTATCTATGACAAGTTTCTTGAATCACATTCGGTAGTGATTATTAAATTATACACGTAAGTATTTATTGTATGCATTATTATAATATCGTAACACATAATTAGGAAAACAACAGCACGTGAGGCGGCACTGACGTGTCAGCCGCCCCACGTGAGATAGGACGGAGAGGGAGGGGGCGGTGATGAACACGTGCCACTCCCGAGATGCAGAGCCCTCTCTCGTATTTATTACGTCATAATGTTTTTTTTGTAAAACGTTATTAAATGATAATATCTGGACAAAACATATACTTGTCCTTTTTAGTATATGATTTTTTCCCCTATATTCTTCTACCATTTGAGACCATTATACAGTTTTAACAATTATTCCCTAATCGGATTTCAATATTGCTTTTGGACCTATTCAAAAATCAATTACAGTAGATTTTTCTTTCTCTTTTTCTAAAAAATTGCAAAGATATAACGATGTTTTATTTTTCTAGAGGAAATTTGTTAGAAATGTTAAAGAAAAAAATATTATAATATCTTTTGTCTTTGTAATATATATTTTACGATAATTTATTTAAAATTGTTTTAACTCTATTACCTAAATTTTTCAATTTTTAAAATTATTTATTTTTTAATCCCTCACATTTTTTTCACCACTTTTACATATTTCTTCATCGTACTTTTTACTCTTACATTTTTTTTAAATATTCTTTTATCTTTTCTAACAATATTTATGTTTCTTTCTTCTACTCAAAATCGCATTATTTTTTGATAAAAAAAAATCGCATTATTTGAAAAACAAAAAAGTTATTATTGAATTTATCTACCAGACCTAATCTAGCTTGCCCTAACATATAAAAGAAGGGCGCGTCTTCTTGAACACAAGTTTACGTATATGTACTTTCAACCATTTGTTAAATTATCGAGTCAATTATATAACATTAATTTTAATATATTCGTCGTTAATCCCCTTAGGATTTATATGGTAATATTATTTTTTAGAATACCGTGTTTCTTCGGTGTTCTAAAATTTTATTTATTTTTTTTCGAAATCTCATATCGTTTTCCCGGGTGTTTCCACGTGCATCCGGACTTTCTAATTCCGAAATGAGAATCAAATCGAGGTTAAAAGTTTGATTATATTATATTATATGTTCTTAACTAAATTGGTTAAACATTGATAGCCCTTTGGAATTCATCATATCATAAGAGAAATCCTCATTATAAGGAATAATTTTGCAGTTATTTTATTGAACAACAGGTTAGGTTAAGGGAATAATGTAAAGCTAATAAATGTTCGTTTTTTTCATTTTATTTATTTTAAATTTGTTGGACCCAATTTTCTTTTTTGTCCCAAGAAAACACTTTTATTTTTCGTACACTAAAAGGCAGGAGATAATCATTTTCTATGGAGGAATCCATTCTTTCATGATGCCAAATCATTCATAATTTCTTATAAAAAAAAATAAAAATCCTAAAAACAATATACACGAAAACCTCACACAAAATTTGAGTGAAAGAAAAAGGAAAATCAGTCAAATTTTATATTTTTAGATAATTATACAAAAATAAAGGATATAAAACGTCTTATCGATTTCCAAATTAAATTTTTAAAAAAATAGATACAAAATCTTATGCTTCTGAGTTTTAGATACAGAAAATGTATTAGATCGGATATTTTAAAACTATTCTATTATGAAGTTTACATTTTTTTTATTAAAATTTTTATTTTTCAAAATTTTCGTATATACTGACAAAAAAATTGGTAATTTTTACATATTTCCCTAACGGTTGAAGTAACTATGTATATATACTTAGATATATACACACACATAGGTATAATTGCAAACTAAGTAACTTTATCTGTATTTAATCGTTTTTTGTGGTTTAATTTATATATATAAAAAAAAATATTGAGCCGCCAGTGGTTTAGAGTGTTTGACTTGAATACTCGAGAGAGGAGAGTTCAAGTTGACCAATCCACAATCTCCACATTGCGTCATGGGACGCGATTACCCTTCGCTGTTCACATTTTAATCGTTTTCCCGTTCTATTCGTAAATACCTGCGAAACCCAAGGGCATTTTAGGTAACCCATTATGTCGGTAAATAAATATCTTGTTAATATTGACATTACCACCATATTTTTGTAATATATAATCATTACTATTATAAAGATATTTTCTTTGAGATTTGCCGTTATTTTTTCACAAAACGCGATTCGTCGCATGCTAATTCTGATTTCACAAAACTCGTTTACTTATATACTATATTTAATCTAATCGGAAATAATGAGATAAATTTATAAAAACATAACTAAATACTTATGATATTTATGGGTCGAATACTAGATTAAATAATGAGACGAGTGCTTCACTTATTTATCATTTCAAAATTAAATTCCCGCAACGATTTTTTAAATAATGCCAATATTATCCCCGATGAGTCGAGTTTGTTGCCAAATTCAGATATAAAACTCGTGTATTTTAAATAAAATAATATAACGATTAAAAAAATTCAACCCGAATTTTGGACCTAACTAAAAGCCTAGAATTAAAATATTGTTGGCGGTGTGGCTATTGTTATTACAGCAAGATTTTTGTATTTATTATAAAGCTGTTACAATTAGAATTTGGGCCATGAAAATATTTTTATATCACTCGAAATAAATATATACATATACATATATATATAGAGAGAGAGAGAGGGGACACCTGGTGTGGAGCTTTTACTGAGGAACGCGGCAAGGGAGGAAGAGGAACAGTTTGGCTCTTTTTACAAATAACACGTTTATATACGGAGTCCAGATACACAGATTAGACAGAGAAAAGAGGAATATCGAAGGAAGGAGCTGAAAACGACGTCGTGGTAAGAGAGAGAGAGTGAGAGAGGGAAGAGAGAGATTGCTGCTCTCGGAGCTCCTCGTCGTCGTCATCGTCAGCAGCAGCAGCAGCCATGGCCTCACGCTCTCTCCTCTTCTTCAGAGTTCTTCTCCTCTTCCTCTTTCTCTCAGGTCCTTCTTCTTCTCCTCTCGCTCTCTCTTTTTGGAAACTTTTTTTTTGTTTGGTTCCCGAGAAAACGACGGAGAAAAGCTTCCTTCCCCGGAATTTACTTCACCTGAGCTTTCATCTTCGATTCAATTCATCTCTCTCTCTCTCTAATTCAACTCAATTCATCGATTGCATGATTGTGTGCGCACATGAATGATTTCTTGTATTTAGTTCGATTCCCAGCTGTTTCTGACATTTCTACTGATTCCGATGCAATCTCCTCTCAGTTAAAATTTAGTTTCCCGAGAAAATCCTCTGTTTGCCCACTCAAAGCTTGGATTCACCACTAGGAAGTACTTTCCCATATTCAAAACCATCTTCAGTCGAACAAAATTTCATCTCTGATACGAAAATCTCAAATTTGATCGATTCATGACTGTTTTTTTTTCTCTTCTTTCCCAGATCAATCGATTCGGATCCATGGCCTCGGACCCGGAATCAACTACGGCCAGATCGCGAACAACCTCCCGTCGCCGTCGCGAGTCGCCGTCCTCCTGCGATCCCTAAACATCAGCAGAGTGAAGCTCTACGACGCAGATCCAAACGTCCTCTACGCATTCTCCAACTCCCAAGTCGATTTCATCATCGGATTAGGCAACGAGTATCTCCAGAACATGACCGATCCAATCAAAGCCCAGAATTGGATCCAACAGAGAGTCACTCCTCACATCTCCAGGACCCGAATCACCTCCGTCGTCGTCGGCAACGAGATCTTCAAGACCAACGACCATGTCCTCATCAGCAACCTCTTGCCCGCCATGAAATCTGTCCATGCAGCTCTCGTCAGCCTTGGCCTCCAGGACCAGGTCGCCGTCACTTCCGCTCATTCTCTCGACATCCTCCAAACCTCGTACCCTCCTTCCTCTGGATCGTTCAGGCAGGATTTCGCCCAGTTTCTTCAGCCGCTCCTCGACTTCCACTCGCAGATCAAGTCGCCATTCTTGATCAACGCTTATCCTTACTTCGCTTACAAGGATAACCCCAATGACGTCCAACTGGAATACGTATTGTTCCAGCCGAACCAGGGAATGATCGACCCAAACACCAATCTCCATTACGACAACATGTTGTTTGCCCAGATCGACGCCGTTTACTCCGCGATCAGGGCAATGGGTCATACCGATATCGAGGTTAGGATCTCGGAGACGGGATGGCCATCGAAAGGCGACGAGAATGAGGTCGGTGCCACGCCCGAGAACGCGGCCCTCTACAACGGTAACTTGCTACGCAAGATTCAGCAGCGGCAGGGGACTCCGGCGAAACAGTCCGTACCGGTTGACGTATACGTTTTCGCGCTGTTCAACGAGAATATGAAACCAGGTCCGACATCGGAGAGGAACTACGGACTGTTCTATCCAGATGGTACGCCGGTGTACAACATTGGATTGCAGGGTTATCTACCAGACATAATATACGCAGCCAAAGCGTCCGAGGTTAAGGTAAAAAAAACGCATCAGAATTCACAATCAGTACCCTTTTTCAACATCTTCATGTTTCATGTTTTGTTGCAATATTGATTTTGTGTGATGGGTATGCAGATTTTGCAGATTTTGCAGATATGGAGCTTGATGAGTTTGGCATTTGTAGGGTTCATATTGGTGTGACATCGGCTATATTGTCTCTAATAGATTTTTCAAGCAATAGAAAAAAAAGGGGGGTTGGTGGTTATATTTAGAGGTGAGGTATACAATTCTTTTTTTGCATGTATTATATACACTAATAAAAAAAAATCGAAATTTAATTATTCATTCAGTCTCCAACTCTTTTAAAAATGCAGCAGTCCAATACCCTTACATGAAATTTATCCATTTCTTTATAAAAGATTAACGGAAGATTGATTAAAAATATTATTTTTGTTCCTCAATTTAATATATTTTTCTTGGGTTTTTAATTTTTTTTTTTTATAATTTTCAAGGGGCCACCAGCTTCTCCTTATCTCCAACTTGCAATCATGCATGTGAATCTTTCTTTCTAAATAAAAAAACGAAATTCTTGACATCTTCACCAATACAAAAGTCCATTAGTTCCTTCAATCAATTAACAATAATTATAAAATATACAGAAAGTGCCAACAAAAGGTCGTTTTTTCTGTCTGGAACCCTTTCCACACTTTCTCTTTAGCATTTCAACACGATGAAATCGCAATCACATGTTTTCTTTATTATTTTTATTTTGATTATAATATGTAATTGTTTCAGATTTTAATTGTATATATAAAACATTTCTTTTTACTAAAATCTGAATGCCTCGTGTGCTTTATAAATTTATGTGAAAGTCATAAAGTGGATTATAATTGTTTCCCTTTCTATTTTGTAGATATTGTGTGTTTTTTTAAAATTTTTTATTGTGAGACAATTTCCGATGATAATTAGATAATAATAATCCAAAAATATTCTCTTGAAGTCTCTGTATTATTTTTTATATTTATATTTAAATTTTAATTTTAATTCTGAATATTTATGTTATGTAGTCAAGACCTATTTATTTTTATACGTATTATGATCCTATTTCTTTAAATAACAACTTTCTATAAGATTAAACTCAAATATCTTAAAAAAAAATAAATCCCATTTCAAACACTTTTTGCTAACCTTTCAATATAGTTTTTTGTCGTGATATTTTTCGGGATTTATAAAATCAAAATATCTCATCAGAAACAATTGCAGAATGTAACTAAAGAGTACAAACGTACCGCGAAGAAATACACGTCTAATGAAACTATTAATAGAAATAAATTTCCAAAAAATATTATATTTCGGTAGGTTTTGTTTTTTTTCTATTAAAACAGAAAAAAGTGAAAACCCTTTTCGTTTTTAGGATCGAAACATAATAAAACCTCACGTAAGAGACACATCTTGTTGCCGACTTTTTACGTTCCTTTAGGGCTCTCGTCAAATATATCATCGCTTTTTTTGTTTTGTTTGCAGTTATGCATCTGCGTTTCTTCCATTTTCCGTCACTTTCTCGGGAAAAAAAAAGAAAACACAAAGAAGGGCTTAGAACTTCAGGGAATCCACCTCATTATTTTTATTTTATTGTCACTTGAATCCATCTTGTATATTTAGCACAGCCTGTGTATATACGCTGTATGACTTCTTTACGTATATATATATATATATGTCTCTTTCC